AAGTACTAAAAATTCCAAGCTGCTGTAAAGTTATTTGATCTATCTCTATAAAGTGAAATATACAAGAAGAATAAGGGTTAAAAAATGTCATGCATCATTAGTTCTATTAAAGGTAAAGACCAGTTATGGTCATGCGATTGCATTGTGAAAGAAACGTTGTGGAATCGATCAGAAAAGGTTGATCATCTAGCATCTGCAAGGTTCTGGAATCATCAAAATGATAAGAAATTTGGCCCATTCTTTGTAAAGTTACAAGCACTATACACAGAAAGATGTATATGGGACTACCCTATATCTCTCACAGACCATGAGAGAAACAAATTTACCAAATATATGAATTAGTAGGCGGTTTCCCTGCAAATTTTTTATCATCATGTATTAGTCAAAACATTCTTTCACATGATTGGTAATGAGAGCTTCCATTTCATTTTTTGAAATTGGGGCATTTCCAATACTGGTCTTTACCTTTAACTCAAGTGACAAATGTACTATTCAAAGCATGAAAACAATGAACAATGTTTCTGGTAATTACATTTGTATGCTTGCATGCGTCTTTCAACATTTTAACAACATTTTAACATCAGTCATTTTTATAGTCATGTATATTTTATTCACATCTAAAAAATTTAAGAATGAAGCTGTATTTCTTTTTTTTTCAAGGCCTAAAATAAAGATGAGCTTCAAGTACATGTATCTGAGACAGAATAATGTGGAATATTCAAAATACAAGAAAAAAAGCCTTGCACTAAAGATGTGCTTGTTACAGCTTTCAAAACAAACATGTGGGCCTGCACATACATTGTAGAATTCAACCCAGAACACTCCATATACCGGTACTTCTCCATATACAGGTGTACATGTTTATTGCATGTAACGTCTGCATTCACTTATTTACAATGCTTCAGGACCTAGAATGTATAGATCTGTTATTGATCATACTTGGTCTGTTAGCCACCAGCAGTGCTCATTCAACAAGTGTGCATAGAACTAACAATGGTTGACAATAGAGCTGGCAATGCATTGCCTAATCATCCCATGGCTATTTTCATGGGGTGACCACAGAAAACACATCCAAGGCCAGGCAAACACCCCTTTAAAACCACATCCAAAACAAAATGGTGATGCAGAAGACTATAAAATACCAACAGCAAAAAAGATTATCATAAACCACACTCAAACAAAATGAGTTGATGACGAATACTATAAAATGCACCCATTTAGAAGTTTAAAACCTCATCCAAAACAAATTTAGGTGATCAGGAAGACTAAAAAATACAAAAACATAGCATGAGATTCAACCACATATTGTACAGAATGAATCAGCTGATGATGACTACAAAATACATTAATAGCATGAGATTAATCCCACATGCAAAACAAACTGAGTAAAAGAAAACTAGAAAATGCAAAAGACAGCAGCAGATTCCATAAAAGTGAAAATGATCTGAACAAAGTCAGTGCAGATTAGAGTTTATCCTGTGCAAGAACAAGTTGGCGAATAAATACTATTAAAATAGAGCAAGACTTACTCAAAGTAAGGAATGTTCATTAAACATTTAGAATGATCAACAAGTGATTCTACAGTAACTGAAAGAAAAAAGGGCAATAAATTCACTGTTAATTAATTTTTTACAACTTCTAAACAAATGTGTCAGTCATGCCAAAGCCAACAACTGAAGTATACAAGACATGTCTAACTTTTAAAAATAAAGAAAAAATATCAACTACAAAAATTTATAATGCTTTACACGTACATTACTAGGAAATGTGTCAAAGATAAGTGCAATTTCACATTAAATGCTATAAATTAAGAAGTCAACATTTTGAAGATTATTATTTCCTTATTGGTAATTTATCAAACCCATTTCAATTGTATAGCTCCTACCATTACTAAAAACATTAAGAGTGTACTTTCATACTACATGTAACATACATTTATTTGGAGAGGTCAATGAATTCTGAAACTCATTTGCAACAAACATGCCAATTTTTTTGACAAAAAACGAAAAGAATTCATTTTCAATGAATCAGTTGAATATCTGCACCCCCTTACAAATCGTACTGACAGTTGATGATTGATGGTTTATTGTGGCATGTTTCACAAAAAATACAAAACCCTACAATATTCAGTCATTTTCTTTGGTTCATTCAAGTCAATTTGTTCTCAAAGTGCATTTTATGAGTTCATTCCTATTCATCATGGTATCATATCAGGCAAGAGCCTACAGTTGCATTTCATTTTGTGAATACTATCATTACTACGAATAATGAATATCCACAGCTCATTAAATCTTTAGAGGAATATCTTCCACAATGACAGCTGAAATAGATGTTTACTCAGCGCAGGGTGCAAATTGTGACAATACAATCTTCACAAAAGATGATCAAATTTATGGTAAAGAATGGTACCCTGAGATACAATTGGAAATTCAATCAAATAAAATTGTTTAAACTGTATTTTGTGGGGTTTACTTTTATATTTTTCCTTTTTCACAAAGATTTCTTAATAGTTGTTTATCTAGTGTAAGATACAAATTGCTACCTTAATAGCAATAAACTTAAAGCATCAATACGAACATGTCTGTATACCCCTGATTCTTGGGTGCAGGGACCCTATCCTTTCAATCAATTTACCCCAAAACCAGAATTAGAGTTTGCTTATCTTCTCATTTTGCACATAATATATATTAGCTAGTCAGTGTATAAATCAAGCAATGTTAGGAATTTCTGATTATCATGCCATCCTAATGCTATCCTGCTATAGATTAGATCTTGTAAAGAGTTTATTTGTTGACATGAAATCATCATTAATAAACAGGACATACAATGTAATATTGATATCTCATAATCTCTTGATCTCTCCTTCTCCAACTCTTTCCACTCTCTCCCCTCTATCTCTCTCTCTTTCTCTCCCTCCCTCCTCTCTCTTTCTCCCTTTCTCTCTCTTTCACACACACACACACACTCTCTCTTTCTCTTTCTCTCTCTCTCTCCCTTTTCACTATTTTTCTAGATTCCTAGGTCTTGTATGCCAATTACATAAATGTAGCTTTAGTGGGTAGATATGTACATGTATGTAAAGATCTTCAAAAACAATTTGTATCAGTATTCTTAATTTTGTCTGTGCATAATGTTGTCGACAGACAATACCCCTCAACGAATCTCAAATCTCTTCATGCGACTGCAGTATGTACCATGACAAGGTCTTGCGAATACGCCACCATCCCTACTGCAGAAGCCCTGAGATACACAGCAGCATGCACTGTCGAGAGCCCTGTCATCTCAAGACGCTCGCCCTATTGTGCATTGCGCATATCATGCACACAGCAGCACGCATCAGCTTGCTACTGCACATAAATAATGCAGGGTCTCTTGCTAGCGGGGCAGATGGAAGGGGCCTACAGGACACATAATGAATTGTACATCAATGCAAATTATGCACCGTCCTGTCAATACTTCTTCTGATCAAGTGAAAACTGCAGATGGGAAAGGCATCAGGTGGATGGGGGAAATAATAATTTCTTGTGCTACATGTATCATTCATGTGACATGAATTTGGAAGATACAATAAATGTGTGCTGGAGATGAGAGCAGAATTGCTCTACAATTGTCAATTAACAATTTTGCAAAATATCCATAGTGTATGACATACATGAACATCAGAATTAGCATTACAGGCCCTTTTGTTTAATGTAAAGACTACTGTAAAGACTGATGTAATATTATTAGCCTATAACAAAATACCATTAGCTGGGAGTTTGAAGGATGTTTATAAAAGATATCATTCCTATCAAGCCTTTTTAATAGCTCTTCTGACGCCTACATGTAGCAAAAAGAATAGCTTAAATTGCAAATCAAAAAGGAAAACTGTAATGTATGCACATCAATGAAATATCATTTTCTTATTATCATTTATTCTAAAAATGGATACATCTTTTGAGGATTGCACTAATCATTCTGCCATAGGCCTGCCTCTCATTCTTAATACACACCTGTACAGTACATGGAGACCTACATTACATGATGACTAGAAAAATGAAGAATATTGATTTTGATAATGGGCACTTGCAAAGTTGTCCAATAGTATTAAATTTACAAAAATGGAAGCCCTGTTCATTTTTACAATAATGTTTAATTAAACATAGATTGTTATAAGTATCACTATTAAGAGTACGAGTAATTTAACCAAAGAGTAATTTCACTATTAGAGTAAAAATCACCAAACTCCTTTAAAAGAACTTTCAAATCTATTATTTTTTCACAGATATAAGATATTACTTTATATATCTACATGTATATCAGTTCTCATCATATCGAAAATAATTTTTCACTAGACTTAACAATATAATTCTGTTTTTCTTATTTGATTTTCTTTTCTTTTCTTTTTCTTTGTAAATAGTGTAAATAGTTCACAACCCTTTAGGAATTTTATTTGTCATATATATATTTATATAGTCTATTTAATATTTGAAAGGTGTTGTAATGATTCAAGTTCTATTTGCTTATATTTCATCACCTTTGTGTGTTCATTCTAGTTTAAACAGTATAATAGTTGCAACTTGTCTTGTGAAGTAAATTCAAATGGATTGTAAAATTGTGAACATGCATGCATGCATAAATAAATACATAAGAAAGACAATGAGACTACAGGCTACAATGATAAAGAAGTCTATATCAGAACTTTTTAAGAGTTTTTTTAATTTTGAGTAAAATTATCTAAAGATATTAGCCACACAGAAAAAGGAAGACAATTATGCTCTTATAAATATACCATTGTTGCATTTTTCTCCTTTTACTATCACTTTCAGTTTATCTGTTTAATTTATAAATGTATTGTACATGTACAGTAGGTACCACTACTCTTTTTTTTTCTCTCTCTTGGTTTTTTCTTTCTGTTCCTACATGTACATATCCATCACTTGCATAGTATGAGCAAAGCACTATTACTGACAAGACTTAACACATCATGATTCACTTTTCTAGACTGTATTAATACTTACCGTTGGGAGATTTCGGCTGTTTCCTAACTGCAGCACCTTTAGTATCATCTGCCCAGTTTGAAGCTACAATATTATCTGAAGAGGAGGAATGTCTCATCTTTGACACCGCATCACTTGACTTGACTGACAACAACACCTTGCCTTCATCCTTATCTCTATCATCCAGGAGGGAGCGGTCTGGTGGGATGATGGTAGAGTACGGTCGCTGCTGATGCCTGTGAGATGATGTGCTGCCCTGAACCGGAGCACTGCTCCTCATCCCGTGCATGTTCTGGAATGAGGAACTCAGTGATTCCTCAAAGTCCTCGTCAACAAAGACCATGGAATCACTGTCTTCCTCCGTCTGAATGCTGGGGTCAAACGATCCAGGTCGGCTCAGACGCGGAGCATGTTTGAGATTGATTTCTGATTGGGACTCTGGTAGCAGACTAGGATCTGGAATTGGTCCATCATCGATGATTCCGGTCGTAGCGCTGCGATTTCTTGACAGCACACGCTTCATGACAATGTCTCTTTGACGTGATGGTTCTCTGTCTCCTTTACCAGACTTGCTTGATATGAAGTCCTCCTTTTGAGGGCAATAAGCACTTTGTGTGCTTGTGTATTCTGTCTTTGAGACCCTTGTCTCTACCCTACCTCCATCATCAACTCTCCTGCTCAGCTTGTACTGTGCAGTGATGTCTTGTTCATTTTTTACAGCTTCAAGCATGGAAGAGGATCTAGGAGAAGATTGTCTATCAGGATCTAGACCTATAATACTACTTAGTGCAGCAGAATGCCTTCCTGGGCTGGCGGGAAATGAGCCAGATTTGTCATATCTAGCAGAATGTATTTGCGAGCTGGAATGTCGGTATGAACTCCGGCCAATTTGTCGGGATTTCAGGGTTATCAGAAGGCGGGTAGGAATCTGCATGACCATGTACACATCATCAAGGGACTTGAAGGATACATCTACATTATTAACATATAAAATTTCATCTCCAACACGAATCATGCCAGAATCTTCAACAAGTCCACCCAACATCAATCTTGACACAAAGATTCCATCCAGTCGTTCAAATCCATCTCCCTCTCGAATGTAAAACCCAAGTGTTTCACCTGGAATCTTCAGGATTTCTACAGTCCGTAAGAGGAATGCACCACCTTGAATCTCTCTCTCCTGTATAACACCGATTTTAGGTTTTCCACCATTCATTCTCCCGTCTAAATGGCTTACAAGTGTCATGTTATCAAACTCTTCAGCCCTGGAGAGATCGGCAAAATGTTCTCTCTCCGCTGCCTGGATTGCCTGCACGGTATCGCTAGTGATCCCGCCGACATGACGAAAACCTGCCGGTCCATCGATTTGCATCTCCCTGATCTCCGTGCGAATTCCTTCCGCCGAACTCGAATGACTTCTCGTCTGTTTCACTGCTGATTTTGTGTTTGAAGTGACCTCATATGAATTGCTACTCGCTCCTTGGTTTCTGTCAGACATCTTGAAGATTGTCGGCGAATTGATCCTAGAAAATATGTTACTTTTACACCATTTTCAATGTTTACATGATGTCATATTTCGAAGTTCGGTCCAGTTCGAGCTCGCACCGGCGCCTTGAGATTTTTTCATGTGTGTACAAAATCTATGGGCCCGATTTTCACGTGAAATTGGTATGCGGAACATATAGGCTTGCAACCAGCACATATTTGTGGAGAAGGTTCGTTTTTCATACTCAGGGCTATTGCGCGGCTATATGAATTATTAGGCCTTTTACAAACAAACGACTGGAAATACAACTGGATTACCTAATTCGAGTCCTCTCGATCTCCTCCCCATCATCATCATCTCTCCATCTCAAATTTTAACAATAAGTGTATTGGGCCTATATAATTTATTTCTTTACAAGCTCTTTCTCTTCCGATAAGCATGTATAGATACAAACACTTTGTAAAATATTGAAGAAAGCATGAACAAGAAAAAAAAGACCGCGATCTGAATTTCATGATGGTGACAGACAGGGATTCATCCACTCATTCATCCATTAGTAGGCCAATGCCAGCAATATTTCGAATAATTAGGCCTATACAATTCAATTTAATTAAATTAAATTCATTTAGTTTTACTCTTTCATATATCATATTTAAAATGATGGTATATTTTAACATATTTACATATTAATATACATAATTGTATATTAATTTGCACAATAGAATAAATTAAAAATAAAGGGAAGGAGGGCTAAAAGCAGAGCTTGTATAGGGTGTAGGCCCCCTGTAAAAGTAATTATTGTGAATTATTATCATATGAGAAGAAGAAAAAAAGCAATAACAATAACTGATTCAGTAATAAAAACCTACAGTGCATTACATGAATACAGTTCCAAAAAAGGTGACATAACTTTGAATGTGTTTCATCTTTTTTTAGTAAGTATTAATTATTAGGAAGGTCACAGTGGCGGATCCATGAATTTCTTACCGGGGGAGGGGGCACAAAATGGCACGGGGTGAAATGGCGCTGAATAAGCGGGGGGGGGGGGGGGGTAGTGAGCACTAATTTGTTTTTTGGGGGCGGGGGAGGCACGTACCCCCCTGTGCCCCCCCCCCCCCCCCTGGATCCGTCCCTGGGTCAAATCACAATGCACGTAACCTTTCGGTGCCTTTTTGAATACATGAAACAGTGATACAGCTGCTAAACAAGTCAGCAGGTTTGGTAATCATTAATTTTGTAAGATAGTGACTGTAACAGTTGTAAGCGCACTATTAGTATTCTTTTACAAAAATAGATTACTACTCATATCAGTCGTAATGGCAGCAATGTTCAGCATTTTGTTTTCAAGGGGGCACCCCGTGCTAAATCCATTACCAAAATATTCAGTGTTTTGTCCCTCCTATAAGGTCAAGGTCTGGATCCGGGGTCTGGGTATGCTTATGCATGAAGAGAAATTGAACTGAATTACTTCTATATTTTGGAAAAGTTTAGAGAAAACTTTAGTTTTTGCAAATTATTGTAGACCTATAGGCCTACAATTTACACAAAACACGATCGCAACTATTTTTTTCGAAAAATCAACTCGAGGAAAATTTCAATTCATAGATACCCAATTACATCCTATAGGAATCATGTTCGGATTCAGTATGATGTCATTGTCATGTTCGCACCGATTTCAAAAGGTGACGCACAAGAATATATTTTTCGAAAGTTATTGCGTGCGATCGGTTATTTGAAGGGGAGCTGAACAGGCCTACTGGCTGAAAGTTTTTGGGGTTGTGTTGTGTTGTGTGCCTTTTTGGTTGAAATTTTTGGTAAATGTCGGGGCATTTGAAAATGTGGTAACCAGTTTTAGTCATGTCGGTACATTCTCAAAATTGTTCGGCTGGATTATATACTTGTCGGCAAAATTGACCTCTAACGAGCCTGTATTAAAATATAAAAATAATAATAACAATAGCCTATATAGAGGGTGAGTGGGTTTAATGGAGGGGAGGGGGTTCTCTAAAACTGAATACAAGTCATGTAGTAAAGATCGAAGGGATCGAAAAATAGATTTGTTGCCTCTTTTTCTCTAAACTAATTTTCTCGATTATACCCCCTATAGTAATGAGGAATTTAATTTTGTTTATATCTTCCTTCAGGAACTCCTATAGCCCTCAGTGTCTTTGCTTCTTTCTCTCTCTCTCTCTCTCTCTCTCTCTCTCTCTCTCTCTCTCTCCCTATCTCTTTCTCTTTCTCTCTCTCTCTCTCTCTCTCTCTCTCTCTCTCTCTCTCTATTTCTCTCTCTCTCTCTCTCTCTTTCCCTCCCTCTCTCTTTCCCTCCAGAGGTGGGGGCTTTGCCGTTTCTCGCCCCGCCCCTTATAGATCTGCCTATATGCACCTGTGATCGAAGAACTCAATGTATACGAAACGGTCATTCTAGAAACACCTGTGTTGATGACTTTCTTAGTATTTGTTTGTCATCGACTGGTTGATAAATAGGCCATATCTTACACACATATACCGTTCTGATTTCTATTAACCAAAAAAGAAATAAAAAGGGGAACAGTCCGGCGTATTTTAAGAGTTGGCATGCAGATTTCGTCGGCCGGACAGCAGGATATTTTCATACCATCATCCTTTTCAGAAGCTATGAGGCCCTGAATGAAAAAAAGTCCTATCATGTTTGGTTTATATAAGAACGACTTCATCTACAAAGAAAAGTACAGTTACAGCCAATATCTATGACCTTGTCAATGACAATAAGTGAATAGGCCCCCGGGGAGCGTAAAATATTAATAGTTCACTTCCTTCCAAAACTCGGGCTAGAATACCATTGCACTCGGGTAACAAATCCATAGATGGAAACATTTTAAAATATGGTGGGGTAGAAATAATGGGAAAGAAATAACTTTGTGATTTTAAAATAAAAAATCAAGAACTATTCCTTTAGTATTCATTGTCAATTTGGATGCCTTTTGAGCTCCGGAGAAATGAGTCTCTTTTGGATTTAGCACCCCCCCCCCCACCCACCCACCATCTAGACCCGCTTGGCTCTGAAAATCGAGAGCCGTTTTTTTTTGGGGGGGGGGGGCGACCTGCTGACCAATGAAATCATATAGTTATGCGACTAACTGATCCCAATCATTGAACAAGACTACTGTCTTTCTCCGAGTGTCAGTAATTAAAAAATATACAAAATAATGTGTAAATGTATTTGTGCTTGGGAAAAAGACACGTCTCCCACTTTTTCTTCTGGCATCCTGTACCTGGCATGCGACATGTCATTATTTTTTTTTACACGCATCCATTTATTATTAATTCATACTTTTCATACTTGAAGAATTACAGTTTACACCGGACTATTTAATAGAGGATAATTACTAGTTGTTTTTGTTAATAGTTTTTTTTAAATATAAATTAGTACTCGGAAGAATAAATTAGTAGTAGTCGGAAGAATAAATATTATTCAATACAATTAATTTGGACGTCTATTTACAAAGAATTAATTATATAATGTGATACTTTTAGTATATATTTCATAATAAGTTCTAATTTTGTAAATTATGTGAATTCTATTTTTTGAAATGTGAAACAAAATATAATATATATATATAATAAGTAATATATTGTTTTCCACAGGCGCGTACGCCGGGGCGGAGGGGGGGGGGGGTTAGGGATTAACCCCCCCCCCTAATATTTGTTTAAAGATGAAGTTGAGTTCTGGTCATGCGATTGCATTGTGAAAGAAACGGTGTGGAATCGACCTGAAAAGGTTGATCATCTAGCATATAAGAATTCGTGTGTATTGCAAGGTTCTGGAATCATCAAAATGATAAGAAATTTGGCCAAGTCTTGGTGAAGTTACAAACACTGTACACAGAAAGATGTATATGGGACTACACGAACAAATGGCGTAAAAAACCTACCCCCCGAGTTTTACGATGAACATGACATATTTAGAATATGAAGGCATTTAAAGAGCCATGCTTTTCATGGAACATTTCTTATCTGATGTTCTTCCACACTTGCATAATAAGAATGATAAAGTTCACAAATTATTTTTGACCTCTTCCCACAACTCAACATTCTCTTTAATGTGTGGGTTTTGGAGGATACCCCCCCCCCCCCCTCCCTCAATTTTGTTCAAGTGTAAACAAAAAAATAAATTTAAAAAGCCTTTTTTTGTGGTGCTAAAGGGTTTAATATATATATATATATATATATATATTCCCAAAAAACGACCTTACCCCCTCCCCCTTCCTCCTCCTTCTCCCCACTGAACGAAATATCGGTCGATATAATTTTCCACTTTCCGTGGTTTTCTATCATTATAACGTCTTTTAATCGTCTTTCATAAATAAGGTGAGTTTTCGGCTCTCCTGTCATAACCCATCCGTGTGGATCTCATTGTAGCTGTGTGAGAAATTTTTATACCGCCATCTACCGACTTTGTTTATACAGTATTTTGTAACACCAAAAAAGAAGAAAAAAAAAACTCGATTTAGCTTAGACCTCTCGTTCCAGTCTGTGAGGTGAGATTAATTTGCTTTCCTTTGTTTTTCGGAAATTTTAAGCCATATATTATAAGTTTATATCGTGGAATGCTTGTCGGTGTGTGGGTGTCTGATCTGCCTGACCATCTCACTTTCATCTAGATCTAGGCCTAGTCCCGAGTGTGCATTTTTATGTCAGTAAAAAAATAATTAAAAATTAAAGGCTCATTTCTTAATTAATGGACCAACACATTGATAAATCTGTAGGTAACAAAAATTAAGTTAAATCCACGAGGTTTACTTATTCTTCTGTGCTAAATTATTAACAGTGCATCTTATTCTTTAATATAACAAGCAAAGCAGGGTATCAATCATCAATTTGTTGCGTCCTCTCTGAGCTGAGGAGCTCTGACTTCCGAGTCTGTAGAAAGACTGAATTTTTATTTTAAAACTGACGATGATGATGGTCCAATGATATTGATGCCATGGTAATATCAATGGAGAGGATGATGATATGGAGAGAGAGAGAGAGAGAGAGAGAGAGAGAGAGAGAGAGGTAGGAAAAGAGTTGACAAAGAAGGGTTGAGAAAGAACAAGAAATAATTAAGGAAGTGAAAAGGAACGAGGGAGGAAAGAAAGTGAGACTTGGACATTTGTTTCTTTATTTTCAGTGAGATTTTTTAAAGATTATCAGTGTCAATCATTTCTTTTGAACTTTTTCTCACAAGGATTACATGTATCCGTTTGGGATAATATGTTCAGTACTTAATATCAGTATGTACAAAGATTTTAAGTACTATGTCCTCTCGCTCTTTCTCTTTCAGATTACAAACAGCAATGGAGGCATCAAGATTATGCAGGTGTATGAAGGCACTCTTGTTGAATAGATTTCCAGCAAATATCTCATATTCACTCAATCTTGTGAGATGTAATTCTAACCGAGCAGCTATTGCCAAGACGAATCGCAAGGTGTATTCCCGCATGTACCCTACACTGGTGGTCAACACGGATGGATCAACATTTCGCATCAAATATGGTGAACCAAGGAAAATTTTAAAGGTAGCCTTTAATTATAATTACAAAGAAACTCTCCAGAACTTTGAACAGTGTAGTTCACCTTTCCTCTTACCAGGCCTGATAATTACCTGATTTAAATCGGTTTCCAATTTATTAATTTTTTTTTTCTTCCCGATTTTCCCCATATTTTCTCCAGTTTTCCTGATTTTTTCCCCAATTTTCTTACTCAAAAGGGGGAATGTTGTTAGATGCCATTCCCCCCCCCCCTGAATCCTCTTCTTCATTTTTTTAACTCAAGGGGGGGGGGGGGGGGGGCATGGTCGAGGTGAATAATTATTTTAATTTTTTTTTTTAGTGCTCACTGTCACCCCTGTCTTACAAAGGCAGTGCTAGACCTCAAATTGTATTGGTGTAGAAATGTTATGTGCTGTATTTCTGGTCACAAGGAATCAATGACCAAAGATGTGAAGACTTAACAAAAAAGTTCTTTGGAGCCTTTATGGAGATTTGCTTTAGTGAATCTTTGGCACAAACAATGTACATGTTGATCACATTACTCTAAATATATTAGTATGTGTTGTGTAATTCATCTAGCAATTTATGAAGATTTGCTCTCCTTTGTTGCCATAGGCATTACCGTATTTCCTATTTTGGAGAAAATTTGATATTTTGCTGATGAAGAAATGTGGAGCACCAACTTAACGTTATGTCAATCATTTTTCTTTCTTTCCCTGCAGCTACCTGTAGATGTCAACATGTTAGCTGCTGATGAAAAGAAGATTCGCCTTGCCAGATACCAGCCCAAGAAGAAAGTCAAAATAGAAGATGATTTAGACGATAACTTTGATGCCAATAGATACAAGCATTTATGGAACAAGAAAAAGTAAAGACAGACTCTAACTGAGAAGGAAACAGTGGTCAGCTTTGATGCACAATTGACACAACCCTTTTGTGGGACACAGCGCAAATCATTACCTAGAATTAATTGCTCCCAATTGTGCCGGTTGTAATTAAATTCATATGAACAGGATCTCTGATGGTAGAAAATGCCTCCAGACTTCAACAAGGCTATCATTGATGCATCTGTGTTTAGAGTAAACCTGCGAGTTGAAATTCTGCAGAAGGCAAGCATTTGCTATGCAAAAAACGGGTTTCTCTACATGAAGCAAGGACATCAAGACTTCTGAACTGCTTTGTGGAAATAAATTCAGTGAAAGAAAAAATATTTTGTACATGCAGTTGTAAAATGTTGAATACAAGTCATTAAGTTTGCACTTGCAAATTCAATAAACTTCTGATTACTTTGTTAGCTAAACTTTTTTTGTTTCAGCCCATTCTTGCAATCTTTTCTGTTTTGTGCCATGGCAAAAGTATGCCCTTGCGAATCAAAGATGGAAGTCTAAATAGAGAGAGCTACACAAACACAAAGTACACGTTTTTTCTTTTCTTTCCCCTTTCGGAAGAGGCATGCACATTTACAACTGCTGCAAAAATAATGTAATAATATTATTTATGTAGAACGTTTTTTTGTTTTAATTTTAGTGTTCAGGGCCATTCTAGTCGCTTACAAAGATGTTTCAGAAAAAAATAGATGAGAAGTAGAATTTTAGAAGTACAGCTGAAACATTACATCGTCTTTGTGATTGCTAGATTGTGCAAAGTATTTGAGAACGAGAGTGAAAAAGTGAGATGAAAGCAGTTTTTGAGGGAAAAAAACTGGGAGGGGAAGAGATGTTCAAGAGATTTCAACAGGTTGTAAGGTGGAAAGGGAAATTTAAACTTCAGTCCATTTATAAAAGTGGTATTGATTGCATCATCGCCCTCATTTCACCATTCTCTCTTTCATGCAACATAAAGGTACTGTTCAACATTTTTTAGTCTACTCAAACCTCGGAGGCTGAATACAAATTATAGTGTACACATATCCACTTTAAAAGTAGCCCGTTGATTTGAATATGGTTTGACTTTGTGACACACCTTCCCCATGGACCCAGCCCATATCAATGACGCTGTGCAGTCTTTAGATATCTCACCTTCCCTCGTTTGTTTGGTCAAGTCTTAAAAAAAACTTGCTGTAATCATATGCATGTATTTGATTTCCAACAGACCTTGTATCAAGTAATTTTTATTTTAAAATGGTACCTTTACAATTCATATTTTAAAAACTCTTCTACAAGGTATATCTACTACATCATTTGCTCTTTCCTAATCCCAGTCAAAATCTTTCTTCCAACAATTTTTCTTCAACACCCAGAAATCATGAAAAACACAGGATATAACAACAGAGCAATGTCCTCACGTATACCAGGCACTTTCTTGAAAGCAAGGAATGAGAGAGTAGTAGATAGCTATATGAAGTCAGGAGAGAAACTATCTAGAGGTCAGGCTAGAAGCTGTCAATGAGTACAATCATGATATTAAAGAAAAAACATAAACAAAATACTTCATGAAGTTGCAGCAACTTAGTGTTTATTTGGGGGTATCTTTTCCTCACTTTCTGCACATAAAAAGTATAAATGTAATATCAGTTGAACTGTTGAAAGTCAAATTTAACTTTTATATCTAGCCAATAACCATCTGAATAACTTAAATTATTTACCATGTATATTCACTTATTAAACTATTTACATGAATCAGAAATAATTTTGGTGACATAGAAATTCAAAATCATATAATTACAAGTAGAAAAAGCATGTTTGAAAATCACTTTGGTGATGATGCTATTCTCATATGAACTATTCTCTACATACATATGCTCAATTTTGAAATAAAAATTAATGTATTAATGCATTGAAATAAAGATATCCATACATATATAAAACTGATAAAAATTGGCAATGCGCCAGGTGCACAGTATTCTATGCTTTCAATAAAAAGGTAACAAACCATCTTAAATTAATTCTTTTAAGGACTAGTACATGGACACATATATATATATATATATATACATAAATGCAAATCTAACAAGGCAGTGGTTTCAAATTGTATACCATACCTGGGCTAGTCTAAAAACAAAATTTTAAATATCATGGAAACCTGCTCAAAGTGTCTTTCACCACCCTGGTTAGATATTCTTTGTGAGGGAGGATTTTGTGCTATCTCCCATTGTATTTTTTTTATGCTTTTAAACTAATTTGACCATAGGCATTTCATAGTACAAATATGTACAGAATTTTCTTTTCCTGAAAATCTTGTCCAAAACCACATGAAAATCCAAATTTCAAGTGTACGGTACATTTTGTTGCTGTTGTTCCATTGTTTTTGTTAGCTCATTTGATTACTGTTTTTTTTTTCATACAATAGATTAACAAAGAGAATACAAGAAGAAAGCAATTTAGTCTGTAAAATGTATAAGCACGACAATTCTTGTCAAATAGGTTATATGTACACAACAAACCCTTCTTCCTCAGTTAGAAAGTGATATACACGTACATGTATTTGTTACCAAGTACAAAAACATCAAAGTCAACATAATCTAGAAAGCAGGGCTCATATTTAAAAAGCCTTACTAAGCCTAGTTGTCAACTATGTACACGTGTATTGTAGCCTATACCGTATAAGTAGTAGACAACTAGCTCAGTAAGGTTTTATGAATATAGGCCAGATACCTAAATAAGCAAATATATGTTAGTACGTATATATATATATATATATATGTACTCATGCATTACATTAGATCCCCCCCCAAAAAAAAAAAAAATAAATAAATAAATAAATAAATAAATAAAAAAAAAAAAAATAATAAATAAATAAAAAAATAAAAAAAAAAAAAAAAAAAAAAATTCTGTAATATGGATTTTTTATCTTAACTTTTGGAAAAGTACAATAGAAAAGAGAGGCACACAATTTATGTTACACTTACTTTTGTTATCGATTTAAATTTTCGCAGTGAAAAATATTTACATCTTGATCCTAAATTGTGATTCATTTATTTATCTGCAAAGAAAGGCAGCATTTCAAAAGATTAGATCATTACTACCTAAACACTGCAAACTTAAAATCTAAAAAGTTCCAAGGGGCCACGCCTTGCTTGGAATGAGTTTTATTGCTTATATTTTAAACTCTGGAAGAAAACAAACAAGTCTCAAATTTAACTGTTTTGACGGCTGTACAATACACGCTCTTATGACAATCACTCTCTGGTTAACTTCTCAAAATAAACTGGAGTCCTAACTTTAACCCTGACCCTGGCACTATACCTGACCCTAACCTACACTTTTTACAACTATCAGCAACATGTCGATCAAAATGGGGAGGTGTTGTGGGCATAAATAGCTACTACATGTATCAACCTTTCAGCAAACTCTGTAGGACCGACCTGGTTGGGTCCTGCAGCTAACCATAATGGGTATGAAATCCGGATATACCGATAATTGGAAAAAAGTCAAATCTCGCAAATCAACCATGACTTGAGAAAACTTTTGAAAACTAAAACCCAATGACTTTTCTAACACCGCATGTTGTCATGAAAATATAATGAAACAGTATTCACAATTGATTGTGATATCAGTTCCTAGTTTAACTTGCTATGACCATAAAAATACTAACAATAATAGGATTATGATTACAAAATTTCATTGGATTGCAAAGTTTGTGTAAAAGGGTCTATTTATACACATATTCTACTGAAAGTAATTCTCAATCATTGATGTTGGCAATCTACAGATATGACATCATAAACTTACAGCAATTTATGAAACCAGAATTGACTACCGGTAACACCATATCACATTCTAAAAAATGAAAGTAGAATATTGAACAATTTTGTAGGAAGCAGCGTAATTTTATTTCAACTTCTCAAGGTGTAGCACCTTAAGGAAAACTATTGACGCTAATTTGCAAAAGCAATTGTTTGACAAAAGAAAGAGAGAATTGAAAGAGAAACCATAATGGAGAAAGAGAAAAAGAATGACAGATTCAAGAGAAAATGTGAGGACAATTTTGAGAGAAATGATGAAATGAGGAGAGCGAAAGTCCCGAGTGAGATATGAAGAGAGAAGAAGGAAAGAGTAGGAAAAGCATGTGAGAAAGAGACGAGAGACGGAGAAAAGAGGTAGATAGATAAAGGGAGAATGTATAAAGAAAGCGATAGAGAAAATATAAGAAACAGGGGTAGAAAGAGGGATATCAGACTGGAAGAAGAGAAGGAAAGAGAGAGAGAGAGAGAGAGAGAGAGAGGAAGAAGGAAAATAGCAAACTAGGGGAAGCTATTGATTTGCACATATCTGAAGTCCATTACAAACTTTGATATGCACCACATAGTCCACACAGCTATCTCACTAACTGACTTACCTATCAAATATTCACTACACAAGGTACCTACACAAACCACACTTATGCTCCACGTACATACTTCATCACTGAAATCTCTGGGCGACTATCATCTGCAAATAAGAACAGAGCAAAAGGGTAGTTTTCAAAAGTTGTAATTTGAAGGATAGAATACTATGCAAAATGATAGGGTATGCATTCAAGGTACATGTACATATTTCTGAAACTTTCCCTTCGAACTAAATATCATATATGAAATTGCGCAATGGTAACCTCAATTATGTATAAACTGGCAAGAGCTTGTTCTTTCCAAACTTTACTCTTGAGAGGCAAGTTGTGTTGGTTGATTCTACGGAGCACTGTCTGGTGTAGGGACCATTGTGGCATAAATTCTCATACAATATCATTATTAGCATAAAATCTCATGAAATTATATAGTTTGAAAACAGTATAGGAAGAGTAAGAGGGATACAAAAAAAGAAGAGGTATGATGTCATTCAATTTGAAAGTTGAATGTTGAGGATTAAAAGCGATACATTATGTACAGTCCAACCAGTCAAACCTTTAACCTAGAAGAGATCTGAAGCCATCTCAGTAGTAGCGGGAGTCTCTGTTCTTGTAGTCCCTCCTCAGTGGAGACCTTGACCTTGACCTTGACCTTGACTGTGACCTTGAGTACTGTCGATGTTTAGATGAGCCAGATGACTTCGACCCTGACCGTCTGCGCTCTCGGCTCCTTGATCGCGAGCGTGATCTGTTATCCTTAGACCGCCTGCGATCTCGCGAGTGTGATCTGTCATCCTTAGACCGCCTGCGATCTCGGCTCCTGGATCGCGAGCGTGATCTTCCATCCTTAGATCGTCTGCGATCTCTGCTTCGGGACCTGGATCTGGATCTAGAATATGAACCAGATCTGCGATCCTTGGATCGAGATCTGGAACGCAATTAAAGGAAAAAACATGTGAGGAACAGAGAAAAGAGAACAACACACAAGAAAGATCGAATATAATTTTCTTTTCATTTCTCAGCATGACAGAATTGAAAAGGACATAGATATGATGTTAATCTAAGAAGAGCCCTGAACATTGACATGTTAATACGCATGTACATCAATTGTGATTACATTAAGTCTCCCAGTTTAGTCCCATTATCCAACCTCCTATGATAGGAGCATTAAGAAAAAATGACAAGGAAAAAGGACATCACATCAGCTGATGGCTTTTATTCTACATATACTTTCGCTTCATTAGAATTCCTTGCCAGAATTTTCTGGGGAATTACAAGTAAAGACCTGTTTAGGGCCTGCAAGTGACATTGGTCTTGCATTCACACACTACATGTATCAGGTGACATGAGCTAACACCAGTCTTGTGGGTCAGGTGACTGAACACATGACCACCCGGTTACCTTGACCGGGACTGGCTAGAGCTGGAACTCCTTGACCGAGAGGAGGAAAGATGTGACGATGCAGGCTTTGAATCGGATGATGACGTTGCTGGCTTGGATGTTTTCTCTTCAGAATCACTGTCTAGCAATGCGTATGCAGAAAGATCACCACCTTCATCATCGTCATCGTCCTAAAAAACAGATATAAAATAAAGGAACATAAAATTGGGGATGCTTTACAATGGTGTAAAAAAAAATGAATGGTATCGGCAGAAAAAACCTCATATAAATCAGATAATAAAACAGTACATCAGCCCTAATACAAATACAATGTATTCCTATTCAATTCCTATTCAATTCCTTTTTAATTGAAGCCAAGAGAGCTTAAATCTAAGAAATATAAAATTTATGGTAAAAAGCAAAAAAACAAAAAACAAATATAATAAAAACAAATGCTACAAAATTGAAATAAAAAGTCATATAAATCAGGTTGTACAAAATGTAATCATCCATGACACTAATATTTGAACCCACAAGAGTGGAAGCTTTTGTATAGAATTCATTTTGATACAGTTACCATGGTTACATTTAGCTTTGTTCAGTTGGATACATTCATGAAACCCACACATCCACTATTCAGTATAGAACAAATTTCACAGTGATGTTGAAATTTAAATGAAAAAGCAAAAGGCAATGTAAGAAGGCACAGTTTTACAGGTCACTGTAGATTTTAACTTCTTGATACTCACATCGGAATCTAGTTTATATGCATCGAGGTTACCATCATCATCCTCATCATCCTCCTCTTCTTCTTCCTCCTCATCTTTATCTACCTTCTGGAGTGTACTCTTTGGTTCATCTTCACTTTTGCGAAATTTCCGCTTTCTTCTGCCAAACTTTTTTTTTTTAACAAAGAAAAAGGTACCAAAATTAGAGAGAAGTTGTTGGATTACCATCTATGATCAACTACAACATGATCCTACAAAAGAAAGTTGAGTTCTATGGAATGTGAAAAAAAAACTTATGAGCCTTTTCACACTCTTCACGTAAGTGTGGAAGAGTATCAAAGGAAAAATGTTCTCTGAAAAAGGATGGCTCTTCAAATGCCCTCATATTTGGTATTCATACATGTATGGCAACAGCTAAAAGTTGTTGACCATACTTTCATGCCACATATTTGTGTAGTCCCATAAACACATTTCTGTGTACAGTTCATTTGACTTTTAGCAAGACTGGGTCAATTTCTTATCATTTTGATGATTCCTAAACCTCATAGTACACTACTAATGTGCTACATGATCAACATTTCCCCCAATTGCTTCCAGAAGTTTCTATCACAATGCGATCATATGACTAAAACTCCAATTTTATCTTTAACTTGTTATTGATAACAAGTTTTTCTAAAAACAGGGCTAAGAATCAACTATACACAATATCTTTTGATTTACATGCATGTTTACAACTTCCTCTTTTACTTCTTTTCTTCATGTTTCTCCTCTCCGTTTTTCTGACTTCATTTTATATTCTGTTTTTTTATTTTTGCTGCCTAAGCAATCTTATATTAACTATATATATATTTCAATATTGACAAATCAATTGTAACTGTATTTTTTTGTTTCAAATATGCAATGAGTCTTTTCATTGTACACATGACCAATTCAGCCATTGGGCTGCGACACACGTTTTCAATAAACCTTGAATTGAATCTTGGAGAGAATTTCTTTCGCAACGCTAATTGAGGTATAAAACATAATCTTGAACACATACCTTATCAAATTCTTCATCAGAATCAGAGCCCCTGTCCCCTCTGTATTCCACTGTACCCCTCTCATTGAAACCACCTCCGTATCCTGTAAAAGATTATATTATAATCATCATAAAGGGCGATTCTATGCAATATCTCCTGTGCGATACTGGTATGTGACATGTAGATCTCTTGATACTGGTTATTTCTGGTATTTCTAACATTATTAATGGTCATTTCAGAATCTTTTTCATTTTTGGATGAAAAACTCAGAAAAGAGACATATATGCTGTATGGGACACATTGGACAGAAACACTCTAAGGGGAAACGAAGTTGAACATAAAATTCATCCGTTTGAGTCAAAGTCGACAAGTCGCAAAACCATTCCATATTGAAGGTTGATTTAGCCTTTTCTCTATCTGTGAGGCCTGTGATTTACCCATCATATTTACATTGTTACTACTGGCATTCATACCAATCATGTTTATCATGATGTTGATACATGTACTAACAATGTCCCAGAATGTACAAAAAACGCTAAATTTAGAAATTTTATTAGAGGTACGTTGCACACAGAGCCCTAAAATAAGAATAATAATAATAACAATTTAGAAAAATAGTTAATAATACCAAGGCCTATTTTTAATATTCAAACCTCATGAGTCTACATTTTTTCAATATTTGGTTGCAGATGGATCATATAATGCACAGTGGGCTCAGCACATCAAAAACATCTTGACAAAAAGTACAATGGTAATAATGACTTACCTGTTCTCTCCTCAATCTTTCCAAATTTGGGTGAGTGGCAGACATTGCATTCGTTCCTCCTGGCCCAGTTAACATTACCACACCTGTGCATCAATGACAAAACAAAACGATTAACAAATTTATAAATTATAAAAATTTGCAGACTGGCAAATAGTGAAAGAGAAGGGAGGGGTCGAAATTGATGGAGAGGAAGGATAAAACACTGAAAGTATCTCTTGCGATATCTGGAGGTGAAGGGGAGAGGGTATAGCAATGGCCCTACAATTAAGTCAGGTGGGGGTTTGGCTTTCCATGATATTTCTGGCAATAGTTATCCCATAGTAGAATACATGTACAAACAAATTTCGGTGCAAGGGTAATTCTGCCATTGCCCCCACAACATATTAGGCCTAAACAAAAAAGATTTTGTATTGCCCTTTGTGACCAACCCAAAAATCTTGAAATCTACAGTCGGCTTTAACAAAAATTACTGTTTTTTAGAGAAAAAAATTATGAAAGCATTCGAAACTGAGAAATATCAGCCCAAAGAGGGAGAAAAAAAAGGAGGAAAAAGGTTTTAAAAAAAATAATATCCAACCGACCGACCCATGTTATGGCACTTAAAGGGCAATACAACATCTTTTTTTTTTAGGCCTTACTGATGTTTGTTGTAACTTACATCTTACACTGCCAATCATCTGCACTGAATAGACCATGGCTCTTCTCTGCCATGTGCTGTCCAATGATCAAGCCACCATCTTTAGCCTTCGTCCGACTCTTCTCTGAGAACAAACAACGATCCAAAAAGATGAATGTGCATAGGTAGAATGTAAATGTGTACCGGTTAACAAATTAACGAGGGGATGAAACTATTTCATCATAGATGTGTCGTGGTCAAGTGGATATGTCACCGGACTGTGGATCACAAGGTTCACGGTTCAAATCACGCCGTGGCACTAATGTCCTTTGGCAAGACATTGGTCTACATTTGCCACTCTCAACCCAGGTGTTAAATGGGTACCGTACTACCCGGTAGGATGCGAAAGTTAGTGTGGTTGGATTAGCAAGTGGCGCTTGTAAAATGGCGACTGGCTGGAATGCTCTCCAGAGAGTGGAAAATGTGCATACTTTGTGTTGCGGGGAAGTCTGAATCTGATGACCGGGGTAATAATATGTGCTGCGCCTAGAAACAAAGTATTAGGCGCATTATAAATGTGAGCTTTTATTATTATTATTATTATTTCACTTTCTTCACTACATTCTTCAGAAAAGATTATTCCTGGAAGTAAATGCTATATTACTTAGAAGATGAATGCATGATTGGTGGAACATTGAACATTGGTGGAACATAATGCAGTAAATCATCATAATTATGCATACATTTATAATTATCTAATTTATCTTGTTGAAAGTTCAACTAAAAAAAGAATCATTAAACACATCAAAATGCACAAACGTTTTAATATTCTGAAAATTTGAAAACATAATAAATAATAATAAACATAAAAGGTGAAACTCTCTGCAGTTAGTGGACAAGAGATAACCTCTTATCCTTCTCCAATTACATTTGGAAAATAATCTTACCTGTTCCACATCGGTTGCAGTGAGTTCTTCTTGCGAAGTTCACATTGGTGCATCTAAAAGAGAAAAACATGAAAACAAAAAGAGTTGGTGCAAACACTTACATGTAATATACAATATATTGTACACCTTTAAAGGTACTATGTCCTATTTGCATCAGGGTAAATACCGGTGGCGGTAATTACCGGCGGTAAATACCGATAAATACCGTCCGGTAAATAAGATGCGCGTCCTGTAAATATGTAAAAAACGGGAAATATGATTTTAATTCTCTATTTATTAATAATTTTTACTTGTTTTTAGCCTCATAACTGAAAATATTGTTCTGAAATACTTAGCAGCACAATACTCATAGTAGGAACACACAAACAGATTTATAAAATCCTCACTGCAAACATGTACACACCCAAACAAATGGCATTTTGTTCATATGCTAATTAGTAGGTATTCATGAATATGGTAATTAGCAATTGGGAACCAAAACCTTCATACAAGTTACTTTTATTGTAAAGTTTAAGATATTTGAATAAAATCAGTGAAAATTTGAACAAAATCGGGCATGGAATAAGGAAGTTAAAGCTTTTTGAAATGACTAGTCACTAGAGGGCGATATTCAATTTGATGACATCATTTGTGGACAACTCTCCATGCCTTTTGTACATCAAATTTCATGTTTTTCCTTCTTTCTTGTGATCGAGATAATAGAATGCAAACTGATATTCTACTTCACATGATATGAAATCCGATCAAGAACACAAATAAATAGGAAAAAAACGAAAGAATTGTGAAATCTGATGTACAAAAGGCATGGAGAGTTGTCCACAAATGATGTCATCAAATTGAATATCGCCCTCTAGTGACTAGTCATTTTAAAAAGCTTTAACTTCCTTATTCCTTGCCCGATTTTGTTCAATTTTTTATGATTTTATTCAAATATCTTAAACTTTATAATAAAAGTAACTTAGTATGAAGGTTTTGGTTCCCTTTAATGAAGAACATCATCCCAATGTAATGTTGATATTGGTATAAAAACTCTTGAGTCATGCCTTAGGTCGGTTAGTCAGTGGATGAATGATAACTTTCTGAGGTTAAATGAAGACAAAACTGAGTACATGTTGATTGGATCTGCCAGGCAGTTGAGTAAATTTTCTGCACAAAAGATCATGATTGGCAACTCAGAAATAAAATGTGTTAATCAGGTTCGTAATCTTGGAGTTTTGTTTGATGCTGGAATGACCATGAAATCTCAGATTTCAAATGTTGTTAGTTCAGCATCATTCCATATTCACAATATTTGGAGGATCAGAAAATATCTGAATCAGAAAGCCACTGAGCAGATTGTTCATTCTTTTATTACATGTCGTTGTATATTGGCCTTCCTCAAAATCAAATAGCCCGTCTGCAACGAGTTCAGAACATGGCAGCTCGGCTCGTCACTCTCCGCAGTAGATCAGACAGTATTTCAGATATATTAAAATCTCTTCATTGGCTATCAGTCTCAAAAAGAATTATGTATAAGCTGTTACTCATTACTTACAAAACACTTCTTCATTCTTCACCCCATTACTTGTATCAGATTTTGAAACCGTACGCCCCACAACGGAATTTACGTTCAGGTTCACAGCTCCAGTTATGTACACCCAAAACCAATAACAAATGGGGGGACAGGGCTTTTGCTAACGTTGCACCCAAACTATGGAACACTTTACCACTAGAAATAAGACAATCATCATCAGTCGAAACATTTAAGAAGAAACTTAAGCACCATTTGTTTATGTCATAGTTTTAATATTGTAAAATTATGTCGTAGTTTGTATAGTGTATAATTATGTCGTAGTTTTAATATTGTATAATTATTTTTGATGTTGTACAAGAGCGCCTTGAGCAGTCTTTTAGAATGGATATGTGCGCTATATAAATTGACATTATTATTATTATTATTATTTAGATTAGGTGTATATTTGGTATCTTTTTCCTGTATTTTTTTCCAGCCTTACATAATTACAGACATAGACACACACACAACACACAAATAGTAAACAAAAGAGCAACCATACTGACCACCATTGTTCAAAATTGGACAATCCCTATGAACAAGTGAGTGGAAAAATATATTTCCCGGTAAAAAGTGGTAAATACCGGTAAAAAGCGGTAAATACCGGTAAATACCGCTTATTTCCCGGCGTCCGGGAAATAAGCCTCCGAAGCGGGAAATATGCCAACCCTGATTTGCATGCCAAAAAAAAAAGATTAAATTCCAACGGCATTTGAAAGGCAATGCTAATTTAGAATTTCCCTCAAAACAAAAGGGCTTGAAAATGACTTTAAGTGGAAAAATAAAGACCATTAGTTGTCGAATCAACTTAAGTGATTGCAATCACCTAAGTAATAGTCCGATTTTCAAACCCTTTTACCGAATGGTCATACGCTTTGTGCTGCACAAAAATTCAATCAGTTTAATTTTTACCATTACAAGTAGTGGGTTATTGATGTAGACAAATCCTCATGTACCTCATTATGTTACTACCAAAGAAAAAAAGATGTCAGTCAGTCACTCAATGGTGTCTGACAGTGAAGTCTAGAAGGTTAACAGGTTTCCTTCCATAATTTGAATATACTAGGACACTGCTAATGTTTAAATTGCACAGATAGGATCATAGGCAAACATGATGACATACATGTACTGGTATTCATAATTCCTGCAAAGTTCTACAGAATTTGATCTTGGCTGCAAAAGGGACATAGTATCTGTAACTTTTGATTCTATAAATGAATGATTTGTGTGAAATTGTGCCATTCTCGTGAAATCGTAAGCAGCTTAACACAGTAGCAAGTCATTGCATGCAATGGGAAAAAGGGCGATTCGATCCTTATCCTAATAAAACCAATTCATCCATGTTGTATAATGTTGATTCAACATCAAAGAGAAAGTATGTATATTCATTATTCATATTCATTATTCATATTCATGTGCTGCGCCGCTACCGCGCATGCGTACTTACTCTTCGCTATGTTGAATTGACTATAACATTGATGTATTGGTTTAGGACAAGGACTCACACTTTTTCTCATTGAAGACATCTTCAAATTATAATTTCAAGTGGTTGACGTACCGGCCGGATGCCTACTGTCTTTTATATTTCCAAAAAAGAGGACCAATACCGCCGTTAGAATCGTTTTCTGGTGTAGGATCTGGACCTACGCCGCCTTTCGCGGCAGCAGAGCTCCCTGGATCTGGAGTAAGTACCTACCTTACCTTTGATGGATCACTTTTTTAAAATCACTTGTAAGCTTGTGTGACTGTTGAATTAAACCTCAAGGACTTGTTTATTTGACTTTTCCTTATTTGTAGGCTGTAGCGCATTCCGATCCGACATTCTTCTTTTTTACATTAAGTTTTCTAGTTGCATCCAATACCCATTTGTTGCCTAAAATTTGGACATTCATTTGTTATTAATAATTGATCTAGATAAATAGATTTAGGGTCTAGACTATGTAGAATATGAGAAATTACTGATCAAATAATACATTCCTATTTCGTTTAACTGTCCACTTAAAAGTTAAAAGGGCATAGGCCTAGTGCCTTAGGCTTAGACTTAATTGTATGAAGGGGTGACCAAAGTTCGGGGACATTTTAGAACATATTACAAAACGTGATATTCGATCTATGATTTCTCATATTCTACACAAATGTATTTATTTCAATTATTACCAAATGGACGGCAAAGTTTTTTACTACAAATTGATTCAACTGGGAAATTTATCGTCAAAGTATTTCGGAGATATCACAATCTAAAAATTTGATGTCCAATCGTGCGTGGGCGCTGCATCAAAAAAAAGTCTTAAAAACATTTAGACTAACTTCACGCACGGGGGTTTACAGCTGATTTTTACAAAAATGTGATCCATCAAAAATAAGGTAGGTTTAGAGTCTAGATCTAGATCTAAATTAATAATTTGCAAGGCAAGATATCATACAATCAGTTGGCACCACTTATTAGATCTACGTACAATTTTGAGGATATCTGGTCTCACAATGATGATTTCCAGACTCTTGTTGATAAGCATGATAAGTTGATAATTTTTCGGTATGGAATTGGAAGCAAAAGACTGCAAAATTTGCTGATCTTTTGCCAATATTTTCACAATTTCAAACCCGATTCCAAAGAAAATTTCTTCTCTGTAGTACGTTCCTCTTTCCATTGGTGATATCAGATTTTCGAAATCTTACCGATTTTTTGAGATAGCGAACTTTGGTCACACCTCCATATATTATTTGAAGTGGCAGTGTCTGCAAGCGCACTGCATCATTCACAGTTAATTAATGTGACGTGACATGTTCGATCAATGTTGCACCAACCCGTTTCCTATTCGTATTCCATGAAACAGGCTAATTTGCTTTCTGTTTGGGAATAATTGATAGTTGAATAACAATCTATGGACGTTGAATACGATACATCATGGGTGACGGATCAAACATTTCCAAAACAGTTCTCGAGGTTTGGACACACCATCTAAACAACTTACACAGATATCAATTCGTGGGACAATAATTAATAGAACCGTCAATTTACTCATTGAGACACCGCACCGCCTCATTCTAACTCTGAGAAGCTAAATTCCATTGAAAAGCTGGATATGAATTCCAAGACATGCACCTTTTACACCTGTTTCCAAGTCATTGTTTAAACATTACTTACTTTCCGTTGCTGCATACCCAATCGCCGTCATTTCCCATGAATTTCTTCGCCGACATGGTCACAAAAATCAGCACGGCCTTCAACCAACCCTGGTCACTTACTTTAGGCCCCTAAGTTACAAAAGTACAGTGTTGTATGCAAAGTACTTCCAAGTCAATGCAAAATAAAAGTCATAAATTACAATTAAATTAATTAATATCATCATCATTCTTCTTATTATTATTATCATCCGGCCTCGATCCTCATTCTAAATATTATCATTGTTTTTTATTCTTATCCTTAGGCCTACTATTACTAGTACTGTATCATTATCATTTTTTTTTTGGAGGGGGCCGGCCGGGGGGATGAGCCAAGTAAGTGTGAATACAAAACAAAAGTTCAGTCTGAATATCTAACCCACTTTCTAAATTTTAGTATCAGCCAAATCATCGTGCACTGCTAGTTTTAATTTTCTTCCCCAATTCTCTGCAATTAACTTGTCAAAATTAGATATTCTGTAATAACTTCTGTCTCGTTCTCTTAATTGTGCTAAAAATATTCCTTCAAGAGAATCAAGATCCTTCTTTTGTTTATAATTCTCTGCATCCAAACCCGGCCCTTTTCTATCTCTCTCTCTCTCTCTCTCTCTCTCTCTCTCTCTCTTTCCAAACATGATTCTCTTTCTCTTCCTAAAATGATCCTTCACTAGCTCCATCTCAGATATGAAATTCCTTCACTTCTTTTTTTTCTCCATTATTCAAGCTATTTCTCAAGCATAATTTTCCAGAGGGACATATCTATGAAATTAACAGATCAGAACAAACATTTTTTTTCCAACACATTTTACTTACATCAACAGATATAAGAGCAACTGATTCATTGGATATTCAGTGTCATACATAAATTAATGTTCTTGAGGGGGAGAATGTAATACATATATATATAAAACGTTGCATCAACATATTGGTCCTAATTATTCAACTAAAATTTAAACCATACAAAGGGGTTTAGTCTTTGGTTCACAATATAGTTTAAAGGTAAAGACCAGTTTTAAAAACGCCCCCTCTCAAAAAATGAAATGGAAGCTCTTATTACTAATCATGTGAAAGAATATGTTTTGACTAATATGTGATCATACAACCAGGGTCAGGTTTTACTAAATAAGACAAATGAGGACCAGAAAGTACATATATATATATATATATATATATATATATATATAAGTGCGAGAATTCTCATAAATATATATAAATATTTATTAAAAAATTATACCGGTATATACAATACACACAATATTGTATCTGGTCCCAGATAATAGTTGCTTATGAACAGTCATACACATGCTTTTTTAGCAGTCAGGTAAAACCAACCAACCAACCAACGTATATGTAAATAAATTTAGAAAGCAACATGCGAACAACACAACCTATCATCAATAATGTGTACTCACACTTTATAACATTCCAGTACCTTAAAGTTAACAAAGTCCACTTGGCTGGGGCAACAATTAAGAGATTAACCAGTTATCAGTCATATTACTAGATGGACCTTCAACTGCACGCAGTCGAAAATGATGCCTCCGCCATAGAGCCATTTTACAAACTAAAACAGAAGCAATATTTCAAATTCCAGTTTGATTGTTATCCATTACACATGTTCTCAGAATATCGTGATTACAAGCTATTTTTTATATACATGTATGACCCTTTAATCTTTGACCTCATGTCCTGAGTTTAATAGTAATCCATCCGTCAGTTCTTTTAGCATACATAATGAGCCCCATGACCTTTGACCTCATTACCCCAAAATCTAATCAGTTCATTGGCTCAGCAAAATACATACATGTCCTGAGTTTGATGGTAATCTGTCTATCAGTTCTACTGAAAATGTGATCACAAACAATTGTTGAATACATAATTAGCTCTGTGACCCTTAACATTTGACCTCGGGACCCCCCAAATCTAATCAGCTCATTGGCTCTGTAAGATACATACATGACCTAAGTTTGGCAGGAATCCATCAATTGCTTCTTGAGATAACGCGATCGCAAGAACAGGATATACAGACTTACGGACAACCATTACGCCTCCGGCTACTTCGTAACAGAGGCAAAAAAAAAAAAAAACCTGATTTTCTCATTACAGTATTTACAATTTCTACAGAATGAATTAAGGTGTACCAAATGTCATATGTCAAAGTTTCATGTACATCAATCTATTAGCCTCCTCTCCCTTTTGGTATAAATCTAAAGATTCATCATAGCTAGAAGTGCCTCTCTAACCACTTGGCCATCACTGGCTTCAGAAACTTGAGCAAGTTTGCCTCTTTTAAAGTCTGGACTGTCATTGTCAGTGTCTTCAGTCCCTGAGTTAGAGGGTGAAGATGGTGTGGCAGCAGGTTTACGAGCAGGGACACCATCTCCTCCCGACTCTTTGGCATCGTTGGCTTCAAGCACTCTCTGCGTCACTACCTTCTTCAGGGTGATCTTGTGTATTACGTCTAGATGTTTCCTGAGACCTGGCAGGTCCATGAAACCACGAGAACAAATCTGACATTCATGGGGTTTCTTGTCTTTGTGGACATACTGGTGCTTTACCAGGTTACCCTTCGTCAGAAACGACTTACCACACAAGTCACATGTAAACGACCGGATGTTGTAATGCCAATTCATATGCACCTTTAACTTGTCTTGAGATGCAAATGCCTTTCTACAAAGTTCACATTTGAAAGGCTTGTTAGCAGGGTCATTGGAATGGATTTTCATATGGGAATTACGGAGCGACGTGCGCTTGAATTTCTTTCCGCAAACGTTGCAGGAGTACTTGTAGACATCAGTATGGACAGTAAGATTGTGCTGTTTCAGATTGCCTTGACTCTTGAAGGCTGATCCACAGACTTCACATAGGCAATGACCGGCATTAGAATGGACCGTTTTCTTGTGGTTTTTTAGTTGATAAGCCCTAATGAAGCCTTTTCCACATTCCTCACATTTAAATGCCCTCTCTTTATGACTTTCTACATGAGACTTAATTCTGCGGGTGTCGTAGAATCGTTGCCCACACACCTCGCAGGTGTACTTTATCTCTTTGATATGTATAGTATTGATGTGGTATTCAAGATAACTTTTGCTAGCACAAGTTTTACCACATGTATCGCATTTGAATAGCTTTGATTTACCAACATGGCTGTCCATATGATTATTGTAAGTATACTTTGACAAATAGGTTTTATCACATGTCTTGCAATGGTATTTCTGTCGTTTTGTTTTGTCCTGGTGGGTTTCGACATGTGTTCTGTATGTAACTTTCGCATTGAAAGTTTTACCACATGTACTGCACTTATACTGCAGCCTATGTTCCTTATGACTAGGCATGTGTTTGTTCCGATCCTGTTTTGTCTCAAATTGCAAATCACAAAGCGAGCATACTATGGCATTTTCTGTTGATTTTTGGATGGTTGTAAAGTTGTTTTCATCATCGTCAGCATCTAAATTGCTTGCTTCCTTTGTTTCTCTTTCTGCAGTTTCATGGGATGCTTTATGTTCAATCATATCCCTTGGCTCCGACGTTCCCTCCTGTGATTCATGGACCTTCAAGTCAGCTGTCTGTATTTTCCTTTTCTTTTCCATGATAGGGTCGGCAGAGGCATCTTGATTTTCTTCTACCGCCTCAGCAGCCTGTCCCTGGCCCTCATCCCTCTGTGAAATCAATGTATTGCCAGTCTCCTCCTCTAGTTCAGCTTCACTGATCTCTGACTCTGGCATTGGCATTGTTGCTGAGGTTTCTTTTTCTCCATCTTCTATTACAAGTTCTACCTCTTTCATTAAAATGAGATCTTCTTCACCCTTTTCTTCAACTTGCTCTGCAGTATTCCCTTGACCTTGAGGTTCATTGTTCAATCTACCGGTAGCCAGTTTGCCCCCACTGGCTTCAGTTTTGAAGTTAAGGTTTTGATGTTCATCAGAAGTGTGCCTCTGTTGTGCTTTTTCTACATTGGAAACCCCTGCAGTTCTCTCAGGTTTAATAATCATGTAGTTTGTGGTAAGGTTATTTTCATCATCTCCTTCACTTTCGAGAATCTTTATCACATCCTTATTTAAACGGATACAAAGTCTCTTGGAAAGCCGAGGTGCATTCCTTCTGTCACTTTTTGTTTGTTTTTTCACTTCCTGCATATCTCCATTATCTCTTTTCTTCCTCCTTGCGACCTTCTTCCTCGTTGTTTGTTTTTTCACTTCCTGCATATCTCCATTTTCTCTTTTCTTTCTCCCTGCGACCTTCTTTCTCGTTGTTTTCCTTTTTGCTTCTCCGAGGCCTGGACGTCTCAGAGCTTTTTTCTCGGATGGAAGGCATTTTTCATCCTTCTTTCCACTTTTTTGCCTTTTTGTACTTTTCAGTTCGTCAAGTTTCTTTATTGTTTCAGAGTGAGTCATGTTGTAATTATGAACTTTGCGTAAGTGGACAACCGTTAAAGCCCATCTATGAAACGACTTCCTGCATTGGTCACAATTATATACATACTGAATGGAGTTATTAGACTCTGTACAATCATGCAATTTGTGCAGATCTAAGTCCCATGTGCTGTGTAAGATTACATGGCAATCTGGGCATGGGTGTTCCTCCCTCGGCTGCAGAGTCGCACTTGGGCAGCTGCTTTCTATCACTTTTGCGGTGTCTGATGTTTGGGTGTCATCATCATCTCCATCATCAGGTTCTGTCATCCATGCAGCATAAGAATTATCCTCGTCATCATCGTAATCGATCTGTACCTCCTTGGAATCTTGATGTTGTGAAACGGTAGCTGGGGTAACCGATTTCTCTCTAATAGGGACATTATCCTTGGTCTGTACTGGCTGAAGCGCACCATGCTCTGTCTCAATGTGCTGTTCATCGCCAAAGTGAATGGATACTGAGAAAAGAAAAGAACAAACAGCTTTACATGCAATACGAAACCTGAAACTTTAATTATTATTTTCATTTCATAACTAATGCTGCATAATAAATACTACAATGCTGCTAATCGACAATTTGTATCTTTTCATAGTTCAAAATTGGACAACGCCCCTTGCCTAAGATTTTGTAGCCAATGCTATGTTTACTTCAAAGGGAAAGTAAAAGCCTAAGCATACAATGAACTCGTGCTTTGTCTAGTATTAAAGGAGAAGTTCACCTTGATATTACATTGGTTTCAATTAATGTAAAACTAGATGGAATTTTGACTGCGCGCAGTCGAAAATGATGCCTCCGCCATAGAGCAATTTAAACAAGTTTGGAGTTTAAATCTCCAGTGGTTCTTGAGATATAATGACAACAATCTCAATGTATGGAATTTCATAAGTTGACCTCTGTGACCCTTGACCTTTGACCTACGTGCTCCAAAATCTAATCAGATTGTCTTCCTATGGTGATACACACTATCATTAAGTTTGAAGTTTAAATCTCCAGTGGTTCTTGAGATATTATGATATGGTGATATATACTATCATTAAGTTTGAAGTGAAAATTCTCCAGTGGTTCTTGAGATATCGCGATAACGATCTCAATGTATGGAATTTCATAAGTTGACCTCTGTGCCCCTTGACCTTTGACCTACGTGCTCCAAAATCTAATCAGATTGTCTTCCTATGGTGATACACACTATCATTAAGTTTGAAGTTTAAATCTCCAGTGGTTCTTGAGATATTATGATAACAATCTCAATGTATGGAATTTCATAAGTTGACCTCTGTGACCCTTGACCTTTGACCTACGTGCTCCAAAATCTAATCAGATCGTCTTCCTATGGTGATACATACTATCCTTAAGTTTGAAGTTTTTACATCTCCAGTGGTTCTTGAGATATCATGATAACAATCTCAATGTATGGAATTTCATAAGTTGACCTCTATGACCCTTGACCTTTGACCTACGTGCTCCAAAATGTAATCAGATTGTTTTCCTATAGTGATACACACTATCACTAAGTTTGAAGTTTAAATCTCAAGTGGTTCTTGAGATATCATGATAACAATCTCAATGTATGGAATTTCATAAGTTGACCTCTGTGACCCTTGACCTTTGACATACGTGCTCCAAAATCTAATCAGATCGTCTTCCTATGGTGATACATACTATCCTTAAGTTTGAAGTTTAAATCTCAAATGGTTCTTGAGATATCGCGCTAACAAACTCAATACAAGGAATTTCATAAGTTGACCTCTGTGACCTGTGACCTTTGACCTACGTACTCCAAAATCTAATCAGATCGTCTTCCTATGGTGATAAATACTATTCCCGAGTCTTAAGTTTAAATCTTAAATGGTTCTTGAGATATTGTGATAACGGTCAAACGGGACGGACGTACGGACGTACGGACGGACATACGGACGTACGGACGGACGTACGGACGTACGGACGGACAACCCGAAAACATGATGCCTCCGGCACCACCTTCGGTGGCGGAGGCATAAAAATAGTTAGTAATAGCTAGAAAAAATGAAGAATAAAAGAAGATTCATGATTCTTTTGTTATTGAATATTTCAAAGAGCTCTTTCATTGTTCTGCTTTCAAGAAAGATTCTTGATACCAAACTTGGTTATCAGTAGGAGTTAATGTGAACTGCTCTAGTCCTTTCAATAAACTAACCTTGTTTCTGAGAAGCTATCTGTTGACTGTCACACTGGATGGCGATTTGTACTGCTCCAAGCTGCACCAGAAATGAAACTGCCGCATCTTTCTCTGTGCAGGAGAAAAGAGATCATTATATGCATGCTGTCTGTCAGGGTCAATACTTTGCAATTTCAGTAAAAAATCTGAAGGAGAAATAGATCATCTGAAGGGAAAAAGTGATATGAATACTGTGCCTTTTAAGATGTTTACTCCTCACTTGTAGACCTCATTTCATTACTTTTCTTCATGAAACTTTGTTTGATATCTTGAATCACGACACAAAATTCAACTATTTCAACTGATGTGTAACAACCGACTTAATGGAAGGGCTTGTCTTTGAATATTTTAACAGAAAAAAGAAACTTAAGAAAACAAAAAATCTCAGTTCATGAGGACCTCACCCGCTACAAAGTTTGCCACTTGCTACCCAGAAGAGCGCAACCTGCTGGACTATGGATGGGAAGGTATTTGCAAATGTCTCATCCACTAATGGTGATATTGTAAGACGACTTATAATTTATTTTTTTAATAAATATTTTGTTCTTCTTCTTTACTTTAGCTGTCAAAGTTAATGTTGGTGTTTTTTCATTATTGTTGTGGTACATGTATTATTGTTGTGGTACATGTATTATTGAGACACCTGGGATTAATTAATAATAATAATAATACTCAGTTTTTATATAGCACTTATTAGAATCACTAAGCGCTTCCAAACTTGGAGATTATTACCCCGGCTTTAGCTGTGCTGCCATTGCGGCGCTCTAGCATTTCAAGGAATTAATTCCAGCCAGGTACCCATTTACATCACCTGGGTTGAGTGTGGCAAATGTAGATCAATGTCTTGCCAAAGGACATTAGTGCCGTGGTGGGTCTCGAACCGCGGACCTTGTGATCGACAGTCCGGCGACTTAACCACTCGACCACGGCACCTCTAATTGGGATGCTTACAAAGTCAGACATATGATGATTTCAAGAATCTTGCCCCCTGTTCACCTAAATGAAGTGATCTCATACACATAGACAGGAAACTCACCCAAAGAGGATGCACTTCCAAGGGACCAACTGTTGCTGACCTTGTTACTCTCAGCTGTAAACTTTTCCATCAGTGCCTTGTCATCTTCAGGAGACACCATGTCCCACATGGGGATAGCATCTGAATTATTAAAAAAAAAAAAAAAAAAAAATTATATGGTATTGTACAGCTAAGATAGGGAGGCCAATACCAAAATCTAACATTTTAATTACTCATTTCTCATCTTTAAAAGTAGTTTTAAAAGAAAGAAATTATCTTAAGGGGCCCATGACATCGAAATACAAGTGTATTCCTGTTGGTGTGCAGTCCTGCATACATCTCATATTTTGATATGTAAACTTCTGAATATGTTTCATAGGTTTTTAAATATTTTTTAAAATATTTGTTTTTCAAACTTGCTAAGCTCCACCCCAAAACCCTCTATCTCATTCCCCTTGTGACATCATCTGTCAGTCAACAATGAGCTAACTTGAGAAAGTGGCATGTTACTTTGCCAAAGTTGACCAACTGTTACAATACCACAAACAATAGCAACACATAAGTTGCTATGTCAGACTAAACTAATATTCTAGAATAGACAATGGTATGTAATTTCCCTCAGCTTAGCACACATTCACAATAGAATTGCATGCTTCCATACATACAGTATGTACAATACATCATCATTGCCTTTGTCTTCCTGGTGATGTTACAGTTGACCTCTAGCACCGCACTATGTGTTAATAGCTAGGCAGCATTTAGATACATGAATAGTCAATACACTCATAACACACAGATGCACACAATCATGCCGATGCGGCTGATCTGCAAGTTTGACAGTGGACTCACAATTTGAATTTTTAAATTATTCTTTCCAACAATAACAATCAGAAAGTTGAAAAAAATTGTATTTTACTGCTATTTAGGCGTCATTAATCAATAGTGGTGTTTGAAATGTTGAGAATCAATAGCACAGCTTTTAAAGGTAAAGACCAGTATTGGAAAAATACAAAAGTATTCAAAAAATATAATGGAAGCTCTTATTACTAATCATGTGAAAGAGTATTTTTCGACTAATACATGATAAAAATTTGCCGGGAAACCGCCTACTAATTGATATATTTGGTAAATTGGTTTATCTATAATTGGTGTGTGAGAGATAAACGCACATGTCACGCACATGTGCGTAGTCCCATATACATCTTTCTGTGTACAGTACTTGTAACTTTACGAAGACTGGGCCGAATTTCTTATCATTTTGATGATTCCAGAACCTTGCAGTACACACCAATACAGATGATCAACCTTTTGTGATCTTAAGCGGATACAAGCATGGACAAATGCAAACAAACTATCATTAAATGTCAGTAAAACCCACTTTATGCTGTTTAGCAATTGTATAAAATCCCTACCCGGTAATATTTTAATAGACAATACAAATTTAAACCAGGCCGAATCCACAAAATTTCTTGGTATCTACATTGACAGTGATTTATCATGGAAGATACACGTTAACTATTTGTGCAAGCTGATTTCTAGAAACACAGGTATTTTAAATAAACTAAAACACGAGTTCCCAACCCATATTTTGTTATCTCTGTATAACACCTTAATTTTACCTTACCTCAACTACGGTATTCTTGCCTGGGGAAATGGGACCAAAGCCCAACTTGAAAAACTTCTCATTATTCAAAAACGGGCAATAAGAAACATAAATCATGCGGGATTCCTTTCCCATACTAGTCAACTGTTTTTTAATAACAAAGTTCTCCGAATTGGTGATGTGTATGTGTACAGCGTAGGAGTGTTTATGTATCAATTAACTATAAATGAGTTACCTGCTGTTATTTGTGCACTCTTCGTACGAAATAATACAATCCATTCTTATTCCACTCGCCAACGTAACCTATTTCACCTTCCCCTTACACGAACTTTGTTTGCTCAAAAAATATCACTTTTACGGGCCCTAAACTTTGGAATGACCTCCCCATTGAATTCACAGAATCAACCTCACTATATTCGTTCAAGCGCAAGCTGAAATGTCATCTCCTAAGCAATTACGCTTTAATGGTAGAAGAAGCTTGATGTTACTTTTAATAATTACTGTCGATGTTCAAACTGAATGTTTCTTTTAGTTTGCTGTTGTTACCCTGTGAATTGCCATTGCGTACGGGTAGTGAAAATGTTATACAAATATTGCTAAGTGTATGAATATTGTTTATTTTTCTTCATAATAGGTTTCAACTTAATTAAATTACGTTTTTTTTTTAATATACACAAGACTATGTCATTGTTGTAACTTTCGGAGCCTATGACCTACAAGCATTGCTTTCTCTTTAGGCTCCATCATATTTCTTCCCTTATTCAACTTAGTCTTATGTATCATTCTTTTTTTTGTTTGTATAAACGCATCCTAAAATGAGTTCAAAATGTAACATGCTATATGTAATGATGTACTATACAACATGTGAGAAATATGAAAATAAACTGAAACTGAAACTGAAACTGATTCCACAACATTTCTTTCACAATGCAATCGCATGACCATAACTGGGGCGGTATTCTGAACCCTGTGTTATCTCTAATATTGTTGTATCTTTGGAGATAAGATAAAGTTGGTATTCTGAACACTGTTGTAACTTTGTGTTATCTTTTGTTGTATCATTTCTCTCATCTCATTGGCCGCGCCTGCGCTCATAGCTTGGTGCGCTTGTAATTGTGCTTATTAGTAATAACATGGTGCTTAATCCTCATTTGCATATGCACACGAGAGATAATATGACAAGATAATTGGTATTCTGAAAACTGTTGTATCTTTTATCTTATTTTATCTTGCATGGTATTTACAACAATATTTAGGGGGTTGTTGTATCTTTCGTGGTGATATAATAGCGGCAATATTTCTTGCCCAGAACCAACTTTGTGCCAATAGACGAGTTAGAAGATAATATGTTGACCGGAAACATCAAAGATGAGAACTTTCTAAGAAATTAAATGCTAGGATATGATGATTTTAATGCTCTCATCTTAACCAATATAGTGAAAGCGTGATTTGTCTTCATGATCCACATACCACAGCGCAAATGATGACGCGCGTAATAAGCGCTTAAATAACTAATTACGCCCAAGATTAGTATGCGCTAGGCGCATCTTCAGATATGGCATAAAGTATTTCTATTGGTTGACCTACTTATCATGCTTATATAAAACAGATTTTGATTGGTAGCAGGGTCCATACAAATGGGCGTGTCAACAGCAGTCAAAGATAAGATAGAGGCGGTCCTTCAAGAGATAACACAGGGATAAAATGATGTTCAGTATACCAACTTACAACAATATTAGGGCTGTACTCTGGGAGATACAACAAAAGATAACACAAAACTTACAACAATGTTCAGAATACCCCCCTGGTCTTTATCTTTAATACACAGCCAGGATAGTAATGCACCTAGAATCTCACGTGTGTATCATCCTAGCTCCCCACACATAGGTGCATTACTATCCTGGCTGTGTTTTAAAAGCTGTGCTTTTGATTCTCAACATTTCAAACACCACTGTACGCCCAAAACTAAACTAGATCTAGACTCTAGACCTACTTTCACTAAAAATCGGTACTTTAGTGACAATTGATAAATAGGTCTAGATCTAGTCTAGACTCTAGGTCTAGTCTAGATCTAGATCTAGCAGTAAATACAATTTTTTCAACTTTCCAATGTTAGAAAAAATAATTTAAAAATTCAGATTCTGAGTCTAGACTACTGTCAACTTAGCCGATCGGCCGCATCGGCATAATTGTGTGCATTTGCTTGTTGTGAGTGTATAAACTATTCATGTACTCAAATGCCACCTAGGCCTAGAGATCTATTACTATTATTAGAGCATGCATTGACTCTCTGACTCTATGTCTATGAGTAGATCTATGCACGACTATCTATGCTATGGAGTGTAGCTCCCTATCCGAGGTCCCACGCCGGAGCTACGGGTCAAAGTAATAGTGCCGAATATAGATTATGAAATAATGGATCAAATATCGCATTCCCTTAATTAAAAAAATGAAGGCGAATTTTTCTTGAGCGAGTGCTTGTCAAGACCCCTACACAAAATTATATGTGTGGGGCAGTGCGAGTCATGCAGAGAAATAGCATATTATTTATGTTCTTTATAAGATAAAAGCCAGTTTACCTTTCGACAGAGCCATCGAACTTCCCCTTTTCAAACAGAATTAGGGTGCGATCCGTTGAGCTTCAGACTGTTTTTTTTTTGCGCTACACGGAGAATTATGGTGGCCCTGAAGGGACATCGCGAATAGACTAAATCGTGAAAAATATGCGATAAAATTCACGATATCGTCAATTTTATCGCATATTTTTCACGAAGAAATTCACGAAATTGACGATATCGTGAACTTTATCGTGAACTTTTCACGATGAAATTGACGATATCGTGAATTTTATCGTGAAAAGTTCACGATATAAAGTTCACGATATCGTCAATTTTATCGTGTACTCTATCGTGTACTCTATCGTGTACTCTCCTGACGGGCGCTTCGTAAACAAAACCAGCCCTAGCTGGGGGAGACAGAGAGAAGGAAAAAAGGGAAAGGGAAAGAGAAGATAAAAGGAAAGAAAGAATAAGAAGAAGAAAAGAGGGAAACGGGGGGGGGGGGGCGAAGGGCTCTTGCCTCCTCCTCACTCCCCCCCCCCCCTCCCCGCCAAAAAATAAATCAGAGAGAGAGAGAGAAGGGAAAGGGAACTTGGGAAAGAAAGAAGAGGAATAAGAGGGAAACAGGGGAAGGGCGAAGGGCTCTTGCCTCCTCCCCCCCCCCCGCCAAAATAAATAAGAGAGAGAAGGGAAAGGGAAAGAAAATATAAAAGGAAAGAAAGAAGAGGAATAAGAAGGGCTCTTGCCTCCTCCCTCCCCACCCCCCGCCAAAAAATAAATAAGAGATAGAGAGAGAAGGGAAAGGGAAAGGGAAAGAGAAGATAAAAGGAAAGAAAGAAGAGGAAGAAGAAGAAGAAAAGAGGGAAACGGGGCGAAGGGCTCTTGCATCCCCCCGCCCAAAAAATAAATAAGAGAGAGAGAGAGAGAGAGAGAGAAGGGAAAGGGAAAGAGAATAAAAAAGGAAAGGAAGAAGAATAAGAAGAAAAGAGGGGCTCTTGCCTCCTCCCCCCTCCCGCGCCAACAAATAAATAGGAGAGAGAGAGAGAGAGATAGAGAGAGAAGGGAAAGGGAAAGTGAAAGAAGATATAAAAGGAAAGAAAAAAGAAGAAGACGGAAAGAGGGAAACGGGGGAAGGGCGAAAGGCTCTTACCTCCCCCTCCCCCCTCCCGCCATAAAGGGAAAGAGAAGGGAGAGGGAAAGAAAATATAAAAGGAAAGAAAGAAGAGGAAAAAGAATAAGAAAAGAGGGAAACAGGGGCGAAGGGCTCTTGCCTCCTTTCTTTTCTTTCTTTTCCTTTCTTTCCTATTCTCCCTCTTTTTCGTTTTTATATTTCTTCTCTTTCCCTTTCCTTCTCTCTCTCTCTCTTATTTATTTTTTGGCGGGGGGCGGGGGGACGAGGCAAAAGCCCTTTGCCCCCGTTTCCCTCTTTTCTTTTTCTTCCTCTTCTTTCTTTCCTTTTATCTTCTCTTCCCCGTTCCCTTTCCCTTCTCTCTCTCTCTCTCTGATTTATATTTTGGCGGGGGGGGGGGGCAAGAGTCCTTCGCCCTTCCCCCGTTTTCCTCTTTTTTTTCTTTCCTTTTATCTTCTCTTTCCCTTTCCCTTTCCCTTCTCTCTCTCTCTCTCTGATTTATTTTTTGGCGGGGAGGGGGGGGGGGGGGGGGGGGAGTGAGGAGGAGGCAAGAGCCCTTCGCCCCCCCCCCCCGTTTCCCTCTTTTCTTCTTCTTATTCTTTCTTTCCTTTTATCTTCTCTTTCCCTTTCCCTTTTTTCCTTCTCTCTGTCTCCCCCAGCTAGGGCTGGTTTTGTTTACGAAGCGCCCGTCAGGAGAGTACACGATAGAGTACACGATAGAGTACACGATAAAATTGACGATATCGTGAACTTTATATCGTGAACTTTTCACGATAAAATTCACGATATCGTCAATTTCATCGTGAAAAGTTCACGATAAAGTTCACGATATCGTCAATTTCGTGAATTTCTTCGTGAAAAATATGCGATAAAATTGACGATATCGTGAATTTTATCGCATATTTTTCACGATTTAGTCTATTCGCGATGTCCCTTCAGGGCCACCATAGAGAATCCTTTGGCCTTGCACTGCATATATAGGCGTATTACTATTAGCACTGCATGCTTGACTGCACTAATTGCATGCACAAGTTGCACAAACGGTACGCACTCGGGCCGCGGCACAGCTAGATTGGGGTTAGGTGCGTGTTGAGCCTATGGGAAAGTTTAGGGTTAAGTTTAGGGTTAAATCAAGACCTACCTGGGCTTGAATAGACTTGATTATTGAAAGACCCTTTGTTTCACCTCGCGAAGTTTGGGCACTTTAATATAAGAAGTAAAACCTTGCCCATCATTGACTTCATGTTGTAAAGTTGTTTACAGACTGGAAAAGGATAGCATGGGAGTGTAGAGAGTGAATAAAAGGAAGAAAGTAGTACTGAAAATGTAAAAAGCTTGTTTAACCTGGCAATAAGGGACTCTTGAATGTAGTTTAAAAATTGGACATGGCTTTGGGACTAACGCTACCGGCCGCCGGCTACGCTGACGACCGCCGGCTAGCTGACGACCGCCGGCTACGCTGACGACCGCCGGCTAGCTGACGACCCCCCCCCCCCCCCAAAAAAAAAAGACACCCAAAGGGGCTCCCTTACAGTTTTTCCTACACTCAGCTGCTCCCCCCTCACCATAGGCCCTTTTTTCAATTTTTTTTGAGGAATCCATTGACATATTGAGATTTGGAACCCTTTCCCATACATCAACACAGTGGCGGATCCATGCAGGGGGGGGGGGGCCCGGGGGGCCCGGGCCCCCCCCCCCCCCTTGAGAAAAAAATCATGTAAAATCACGTGATTTTTACGATTTTTGGGGGTTGGGCCCCCCCCCTGGCGCTCAAGGGGGGGGGGGGGTGCAAATTGAATTTTTTTTGAGGATCAAAAAAAAAAAAAAATGTGCTCACTACCCCCCCCCCCCCCCCCCCCCCCCCACTGAGCGAATTTTTTGCCGGCGCGTTTTTCAAATTTTCGGGAGCAAAAAAAAAAAAAAAAAAATGTGCTCACTACCCCCCCCCCCCCCCCCCCCCCCCCCCCCCCCCCCCCCCCCCCCCCCCACCACTGAGCGAATTTTCGGCCGGCGCGATTTTCAAATTTTCGGGAGCAAAAAAAAAAAAAAGTTGGGCCCCCTCCCCTAAAAATCCTGGATCCGCGCCTGCATCAACATTACCAACAATAATTATTTTATCACTCTTTGAGTGAGATAAAAATGGGTTTAACATCAATTTTTCTTTTTCAAAGATTTATACAAAAAAGCATAAAGCATCTTTATTCTGTGCCGCAGAAAAAAAAATGACGCCGCCGGGACGCGCGACGGTACTACTGGAAGAATCACTGATGAGTGATGGGCGGTCGATCTGATAAAGCTAGCTAGAGCTATAGTTCCGACTCTTGAAAAACTTAATATATGAATTCCAAATTTATGTCGACGATACAGTAGACAATTTAACATTTAACAATTTAACAATTTAACAATTTAACATTTTTCAATAATATTTCATCATGGATCATATGATAATTCTCATCCTCATCATCTGTCATTGTAGTTATACGGTACTTGCTCCCTCAATATAGAAAACTTCCCCAATCGGTGCCTGTTGCATAATTATGATCCGTCTATTTCTTATGCATGTTATTTGAGAGCTGAGTTGGTGATCGAGATAGCCACCTGTCAGTGACCTCGCTGTGTGGTCTAATTTCTTCTAGCCACACTAGTAGTGTTGATAAGCTTTAATATCATTCTGAATTCTTTTTTTTTTTTTTTTGTGTGTGTGTGTGTGGGGGGGGGGGGGTAGCTAAACAACACCAAGACACGTACAGAACAAAGCAGCGTATGAATTACTATAAGGCCAAATAACAAAAATAACGTTTTTTCGTCCGGGTCGCATTAAACAAACAAAAAGGAGGATCGAGGCAGGTCATTAGCCTACTATTTTGCAATTTTCGGAAATTAGCTGCCATATAGCTAGCTATGCTATATAGCTGGCAAAGGCCAATCCTATTTATTGACACATATATTAGTAATACTCTCATATCCCTGCATATATTGTCCTAAGACTCCTATGTGAGTTTACTGATGCAATTCTTATGGCAAAACAAATGATTGGTGTCACTTTAGAGGCTATTGAAACAAATGTATATCGCAGGTTTTTTTGTGGTTTTGTTCTTCTGAATATAGAATATAGTTTTTAAAAATTAAGGAGGCGGTTTGGGACGAGAAACGCTTAATTTTTGTTATTTGGCCCAGCCCACTTTCTCGAGTACCGGTATTACGAATGTAATTACCGTCCACGTACTGCTTAATTGTCATTATTTTTTTCAATCCTCTGCAATTTAGGTCTGTACTTTTAAAACTTAGATACTTCTTAAAGTACTTTCTCGTTCTTTCTCTTGCTCATTTTTTTTTGTTTTCATAGGTTTTTATTCATTTCTCTCATTCTTTCGCTCATGATATTTCTTCAACTCGTTCCGGGGATCGTTCTTCTGTTTTCTCTGCATCAAGTGACCCCGTCATCTCTCTCTGTCCCAAACATGATTTTATTTCTCTTTCTAAAAATGATCCTTCATTCCATCTCACATATATCTTCCCTTTTTTCCATTATTCAAGAGTTTTCGAGCAGAATTTTCCAGAGGGCCATATCTATGAAATTAACAAATAAAAAAAGAAATAGTGTTTTTTCATATATTTTAATTACATCAACCGATATAATTTGCTTGTGAACATGTATGACAAACTTTACAATGTCCTTATGAAATCGTAAGGATACAGGCCCTATATTAGAAAGAAAGAAGCATCCAAACTTATTTTATTAGTACTTGTACAAAACCGTTATCATTTCCGAGGAGGCCAATGCACAAGAGTACCCATTGACCCATTAAGAGAACAATCAAGGTTTGCGCACGTGCAGCCTAGCTGTATCTGAGGTATCTCACACAATCCCTAGACTCTCCGGCCGTTACTTCATAAAATAAAGATCAAACTTCAAACTTAGGTAAGTTCTCGTTTAATCTATACAATAAACACAATATTGTTTGAAACACAATATTGTTTGATAGTAATAATCCATTCGTCAGTTCTAAGGCATTATAACAAGCTATTTTTGCATACCAGTAGTCCGGTACATAATGAGCCCCATGACCATTGACCTCATGACCCCTACATCTTCTCAGTTCATGGGCTCTGCAAGGTAAATACATGTTTTGAGTTCGATGATAATCTGCCCATTGGTTCAAATGATAATGTGATCATAAGCTATTTTTGCATACATCTGAGCCCTGTGATCTTTGACCTTTGACCCCACAATCTAATCAGATCATTGGCTCTGCAAGATACATACATGACTAAAGTTTGGCTGGAATCCATCCATCGGTTCTTGAGATAACGTGATCACAAGCTATTTTTGCATACAATGAGCCCTATGACCTTTGACCCCGTCACCCCCAAAATCTAATCAGTTCATTAGCTCTGCCAGATACATACATGGTTTAAGTTTGGCAGGAATCACGAAAACAGGACGTACAACCCACAAAACATAATGCCTCCGGCTACTTCGTAACGGGGGCATAAAAAGTACTAACAGTTTTAAATGCATGTCCATTTGTTAAAAAGATAACAAGAACTTTATAACAGTGGCATTTGCAGGAGTGATAATGGTTTTATTGAGAATAAAAGAACAATGCATCGCGGCCTACAAGGCCGAATCGGGCAATGTTTTACAAATGTAAAATACAGTATATAAAAACATTCATATCAAATAACCTCAAATTAATGAAATAAAGTTGAACGAGTAGATTGTTAAAAAAAAAACAAACTTTAAAATGCTTATTTCTTATTATTTGATCGCCCTAACTCATTTTATATAAAAAGGAGATAAAGAGGAGTGAAGAAGGACATGATGGTGGTGTAGAGTAAAGAAAGCAAAGAAAAGAGGATGGTAAGATTAAGAAGAGGATAAAGAGGAAGGAGAAGAGTAGGAAGAAGAAGAAGATTCAAGTAGGGATAGTAGGATGATAGACAGAGGGTAGTGCGAATAGTATCACTATCATAATGTATCGATATCAATATTCAAGTATTACACATTATACAAACTACTAATGATATAATAATAATAATAATAATAGTGGGTTCTTGTATAGCGCTCTGACAGATTTGACACTCCTGGCGCTCCCGATTATTACCCTGGCTTTAGCACGGCTGCCATACGGCGCTCTAGCATTCAAGGAATAACTTCCTACCAGGTACCCATTTACTTCACCTGGGTAGAGTGTGGCAAACGTAGATCAGTGTCTTGCCAAAGGACATTAGTGCGGCGGCGGGACTCGAACCGCGGACCTTGTGATCGACAGTCCGGCGACGTATCCACTCGACCACAACACCTCTACATCTCTCTCTACACCTCTATATAGGCGAAGTTGATCGGGAGCTGGATCGCAGTCTGGATACAGATTATGCGGAAAACCTAAGGAACAAGATGAGGCTGGCGCACGAACGAGCAAGGGAGAACACATCAGAAAGTTCAAGGAGGCAGAAGAAGGTCTACAACAGGAAAGCACATGCACATGTATTAACGGTCGGGCAATTTATGTGGTGCTACAACTCGGCTAGGACAAAGGGGTTGTCTCCGATATTGCAGCGTCGTTGGAAAGGGCCGTTCTTCATCATTCATCGATTGTCTGATGTCGTCTACAGGATACAGGCAAAGAACCGAGGAAAGAAGATGGTAAATTGTTCATGCTGACAAGTTAAAGCCTTATTTAGGTGAACCTCTTACCTTGTGGATTGAGGAACCTACAAGTCAGCAAGTAGACCAATCTGAAGAGGAGAGTGGAATATCACAAACAGAAGACCTTCTAGAAGATGGTGTTGGAGTCCAGGCAGAAACAGAAACTGAGCAGATACAAGACATATCCGAAGGGGGTTGTTGCAACGTGAAGCGGACAGTACTGTACAGCAAAGCCCAGTTCCGGCACCAAGGAGACCGATACCAGCTCCTAGACAAAATCCACCAAGGACAAGGAATGCGCCAGGGCGACTTCTATATGAGATTTGACTTTAGCGTGATTGAATTGACATAATTATGTGACTATTTCGCTGGATTGACGGATGAAGCTTCAAATTTGTATTGAAATCATAGATTAGTAATCACTTCAATTCTTTCTTCGTTGCATGCACAGATCGTGTTCGTGCTGAGGGATCAACATGGGAGGGGACTCCGAGAGGACACTCAAGTGCTTCACATGCCAGAAGTACTTTGCACACAAGAGGAACTTGGATCGTCACATTGACGTCGAGCACAAGGACGAACAACGCTTTGTATGTCAACATTGCAGCAGAGCATACAACAGGAAAGATAACTTAACGGCACATTGCAGAGACAGACATCCTGAGAAATCCCAAAACCGGGAGCGAAGCCAGTCGCGGGGAAGGTATCTTGAAAGGCAGAGCAATTCTGATCATCGCCGTCGCAGTAGGAGCCCGTCGAGGTCGCCTTTGCCGAACCGGAGAGAGGAGAAGAAGGGAAAGGACAGGAAGAAACAAGTTGTTCAGGCAAAGCTTGAACGCGATGAGTTGCCCCAAGACCCGCTCCAGGTTGTCGTCTCTCCTCGCACCAGGGAAGAAGTAGAGGGGGAGGAAAGGCAGTCGCTCAAAAAGACTGTCTGGTAAGCCACTCGCTATGATGAGACAGCAGCAACTCACCAGTTCTGAATCAGAGAAATCTGCAGTCGCTGATGTGGCGTCGCCAGAAGATGGTTGTGGAGGCACAGCTGTTGATGTCAGGAGTGTCCAAATAGGTCGTCGGATTCCGCCCATTGACGTGAAGAGGCTTTTGCATGTGGACTAGTGCATGCGGGTGGGGAGTTAGGTATTAGGCATGAGCAAGAGAGGACGTGTTCGGGCAGGTAGCTAGGTAGGGCAGGATAAGAAAGGTGAAACAGGGTGAATCGGAGTACTACTACTAGCTGTTGAAGGTAAGTTACATTGTAAAGTTGAAGCTCTTCGCGAATAAAGGCAAGTACCTTTGATGTAAAATGACACTGTGTTTCCGTGTATTATAGAAAACTAGCGTGATCTGAGTGTGATCGATGATGTTGGAGTGATAGCTTCACTGTTTATGAAAGAACCGTGCAGGTGATTGGAGTCTCGTGAAATTTATTGACCGCTCGGTAAATGGTGCAGGGACCCCGGACAAAACCCGCTACAATATTTACCCGTGTTTTTCTTGCTCTCTCGACGAGACGACTCTGCCCAACAACTTCCTCTCTCAGGCTCTTACCTCCCCTCTCTTTCATCCCCCCGTTTCTTTTGTTTCCCTTTTCTTTTTTTCCTTTTCTTTCTTTTCCTTCTTTTCCTTTCTTTCCTCTACTCCCTCTTTTTCTTTTCTCTCCTTTGTTTTTCTTTCTTTTCCTTTCCTTTTTTTCTTTTCTTTCCCTTTTCCTCTTTTTTTTCCTCTCCCCTTTTTCTCTTTTTACCCGACGGCAGTGCAATTTTAGCGACAATATCCTGACAGGTTGGGGGTGTTGCACCCTGCACACCCCCTCTTTGGAGACGCCCCTGTCTCTAACCACTTGCCCATCACTGGCCTCAGGAGCTTGAGCAACATTGCCTCTTTTGAAGTCTGGACTGTCATTGTCAGCGTCGTCAGACCCTGAGTTTGAGGGTGAAGATGGTGTGGCAGCAGGTTTATGAGGGACACCATCTCCTCCTGACTCTTTCGCATCGTTGGCTTCAAGCACTCTCTGCGTCACTACCTTCTTCAGGGTGATCTTGTGTACTAAATCTAGATGTTTCCTGAGACCTGGCAGATCCATGAAACCACGGGAACAAATTTTACATTCATGGGGTTTCGTGCCCTTGTGGAGAAACTGGTGCTTGTCCAGGTTTCCCTTCGTCAGAAACGACTTACCACACACATCACATGTATATGACCGGATGTTGTAATGCCAATCCATATGCACCTTTAACTTGCCTTGAGCTGCAAATGCCTTACTACAAAGTTCACATTTGAAAGGCTTGTTAGCAGGGTCATTGGAATGGACTTTCATATGGGAATTACGGAGAGACGTGCGTTTGAATTTCTTTCCGCAAACGTCGCAGGAGTACTTGTAGACATCAGTATGGGCAGTAAGATTGTGCTGTTTAAGATTGCCTTGACTCTTGAAGGATGATCCACAGACTTCACATAGGCAATGACCAGCATTAGAATGGACCCTTTTCTTGTGGTTTTTTAGTTGATAAGCCCCGAAGAAGCCTTTTCCACATTCCTCACATTTATATGCCCTCCCTTTCTTATGACTTTCTACATGAGACTTAATTCTGCGGGTGTCGTAGAATCGTTTCCCACACACCTCGCAGGTGTACTTTATCTCTTTGATATGTACATTATTGATGTGCCTCTTAAGATCTCTTTTGCTAGCACGAGTTTTACCACATGTTTCGCATTTGAAAAGCTTTGATTTACCAACATGGCTGTCCATATGATTATTGTAAGTATACTTTGACAAATAGGTTTTATCACATGTCTTGCAATGGTATTTCTGTCGTTTTGTTTTGTCCTGGTGGGTTTCGACATGTGTTCTGTATATAACTTTCCTATTGAAAGTTTTACCACATGTACTACACTTATACTGCAACCTATGTTCCTTATGACTAGGCATATGTTTGCTCCGATCGTGTTTTGTCTCAAATTGCAAATCGCAAAGCGAGCATACTATGGCATTTTCTGTTGATTTTTGGATGGTTGTAAAGTTGTTTTCATCATCGTCAGCATCTAAATTGCTTGCTTCCTTTGTTTCTCTTTCTGCAGTTTCATGGGATGCTTTATGTTCAATCATATCCCTTGGCTCCGACTTTCCCTCCTGTGATTCATGGACCTTCAAGTCAGCTGTATGTATTTTCCTTTTCTTTTCCATGATAGGGTTGGCAGAGGCATCTTGATTTTCTTCTACCCCCTCAGCAGCCTGTCCCTGGCCCTCATCCCTCTGTGAAATCAATGTATTGCCAGTCTCCTCCTCTAGTTCAGCTTTACTGATCTCTGACTCTGGCATTGCTATCGTTGCTGAGGTTTCTCTTTCTCCATCTTTTATTACAAGTTCTACCTCTTTCATTAAAATAAGATCATCTTCACCCTTTTCTTCAACTTGCTCAGCAGTACTCCCTTGACCTTGACGTTCATCGTTCAATCTACCGGTAGCCAGTTCGCCCCCACTGGAATTATTGGCTTCCGTTTTGAAGTTAAGATTTTGATGTTCATCAGAAGTGTGCCTCTGCTGTGCTTTTTCTACATTGGAAACCCCTGCAGTTCTCTCAGGTTTAATGCTCCTGTTGTTCGTGGTAAGGTTATTTTCATCATCTCTTTCACTTTCGAAAATCTTTATCAAATCCTTATTTAAACGGATACAAGGTCTCTTGGAAAGCCGAGGTGCATTCCTTCTGTCACTTTTTGTTTGTTTTTTCACTTCCTGCATATCTCCATTATCTCTTTTCTTCCTCCTTGCGACCTTCTTCCTCGTCGTTTGCCCTTTTGCTTCTATGAGGCCTGGACGTTTCGGAGCTTTTTTCTCAGATGGAAGGCATTTTTCATCCTTATTTCCACTTTTTTTACTTTTTGTACTTTTCAGTTCGTCAAGTTTCTTTATTATTTCAGAGTGACTCATGTTGCAATTATGAACTTTGCGTAAGTGGGCAACCGTAAAAGCCCATCTATGAAACGACTTCCTGCATTGGTCACAATTATATACATACTGAATGGAGTTATTAGACTCTGTACAATCATGCAATTTGTGCAGATCTAAGTCCCATGTGCTGTGTAAGATCACATGGCAATCTGGGCATGGGTGTTCCTCCCTCGGCTGCTGAGTTGCACTTGGGCAGTCACTTTCCACCGCTTTTGCGGTGTCTGATGGTTGGGTGTCACTATCATTTCCATCATCAGGTTCTGTCATCCACGCAGCATAAGAATTATCCTCGTCATCATCGTAATCGATCTGTACCTCCATGGAATCTTGGTGTTGTGAAACCGTAGCCGGGGTAACCAATTTCCCTCTACTAGGGACAGTATCCTTGGTCTGTACTGGCTGAGCCACACCATGTTCTGTCTCAATGTGTTGTTCATCGCCAAAGTGAATGGATACTGAGAAAACAAAAGAACAAACAGCTATACATGCAATACGAAACCTGAAACTTTAATTATTATTTTCATATCATAACTAATGCAGCATAATAAATACTACCATGCCGCCAATCGACAATCTGTATCTTTTCATAGTTTAAAATTGGACAATGCCCCTTGCCTAAGATTTTGTAGCCAATGCTGTGTTTACTTCAAAGGGAAAGTAGTAGGCTAGGCATACAATGAACTTGTGCTTTGTCTAGTATTAAAGGAGAAGTTCACCTTAATATTACATTGGTTTCATTTAATGTAAAAAAATAGTCAGTAATAGCTAGAAAAAATAAAAGGATATTAATGATTCTTTTGTTTTTGAATATTTCAAAGATATTTTTCATCGTTCTGCTTTCGAGAAAGATTCTTGATACCAAACTTGGTTATCAGTAGGAGTTAATGTGAACTGTTCTAGTCCTTTCAATAAACTAACCTTGTTTCTGAGAAGCTATCTGTTGACTGTCACACTGGATGGCGATTTGTACTGCTCCAAGCTGCACCAGAAAGGAAACTGCCGCATCTTTCTCTGTGCACGAGAAAAGAGATCATTATATGCATGCTGTCTGTCAAGGTCAATACTTTGCAATTTCAGTAAAAAATCTGATGGAGAAATAGATCATCTGAAGGGAATATTATATGAATTATACTGTGCCTTGTCAGATTTTTACTCCTCACTTGTAGACCTCATTTTATTACTTTTCTTCATGAAACTTTATTTGATATCTTGAATCATGACACAAACTTCAACTATTTCAACTGATGTGTAACAACCGACTTTATGGAAGAGCTTGTCTTTGAATATTTCAACAGAAAAAAGAAACTTAAGAAAACAACAAAATCTCAGTTCATGAATACCTCACCCGCTACACAGTTTGCCACTTGCTACCCAGAAGAGCGCAACCTGCTGGACTTTGGATGGGAAGGTATTTGCAAATGTCTCATCCACTCATGCTGAGTCTGTAAGATGACTTATAATATATCTTTTAAATAAATATTTTGTTCTTCTTCTTTACTTTAGCTGTCAAAGTTAATGTTTGTGTTTTTTTTAATTATTGTTGTGGTGGTACATGTACATTTTGGAATGGAAACTTTTAATACCTCAATGCATCCACTCTAAAAAAAACACCCTTTATACATGTTTTCTTGGTCATGCATGCTTAGTTGCTTACAGTCAGGGCTCAAATTAAATTTTTGGCGCTAGTGTAGCAAGGTATCCATATAGGTCTAGCCTACTAAAACAGACCCCAAATTTCAGACCCCAAATTTCTGTAAATAAATAATCAAATGTCCCAATGAAGACAATGATTAAATAGGTGTTATGTTTCTTACCTGTTTCGTGTCAATTTTATAGTATTTGGGAGAGTAATTTTCTAAAAAACATTGATTTTAGCATGCACTTTTTCGCAGGTTTCACGCCAAACCGCAGCACAATACAAATGCATAGGCCTACTGCACTGATGGCCTTGGTCGATTGCGTGCGCGGTCGCGCGCTCCTGTGTGAAGTTATCTACCTTATGTAATGAGGATATGGGACAGAAGATAATAGTTGCCAATTTGAGTATATCTAAAAATGTATTGAATAAAATGGAATAGTTTGAATACAGAGTGGTCTTATTCATTATTACTATGTTAATGGGAAAGAAAGAGAGAAGGAAAAAAGGAAAAGGGGGAAGAGAATATAAAAGGAAAGAAAGAGGAGGAAGAAGAAGAGAAGAGGGAAACAGGGGGGCCCGAAGGGCTCTTGCCTCCTCCCCCCCCCCCCCCCCCGCCTAAAAATAAATAAGAGAGAGGGAGAGAAGGGAAAGAGAAGATAAGGAAAGAAAAAAGAGGAAGAAGAATAAAAGAGGGAAAAGGGTGGGAAGGGCTCCTGCCTCCCCCCCCCTGCCAACAAATAAATAAGAGAGAGAGAGAAGGGAAAGAGAATATAAAATGAAAGAAAGAAGAGGAAGAAGAATAAAAGAGGGAAACGGGGGCAAAGGGCTCTTGGTTCCTCCTCCCCCCCCCCCGCCTAAACAAAAATAAGAGAGAGAGAGAGAAGGAAAAGAGAAGATAAGGAAAGAAAGAAGAGAAGAAGAATAAGAATAAAAGAGGGAAACGGGGGCAAAGGGCTCTTGCCTCCCCCCCCCCAAACCCGGCCAAAAAATTATAAGAAAGAGTGAGAGAGAGAGAAGGGAAAGGGAACGAGAATATAAAAGGAAAGAAAGAAGAGGAAGAAGATTAAACGAGGGAAAAGGGTGGGAAGGGCTCCTGCCTCCCCCCCCAACAAATAAATAAGAGAGAGAGATTAGGGAAAGAGAATAAAAAATGAAAGAAAGAAGAGGAAGAAAAATAAAAGAGGGAAACGGGGGCAAAGGGCTCCTGCCTCCTCCTTTTATATTCTCTTTCCCTTCTCTATCTCTCTTATTTATTTGTTGGCGGGGGGGGGGGGGGGGGGGGGGGGGGAGGCAGGAGCCCTTCGCCCCACCCATTTCCCTCTTTTATTCTTATTCTTCTTCTTTCTTTCCTTTATCTTCTCTTTCCCTTCTCTCTCTCTCTTATTTATTTCTGTTTAGGCGGGGGGGGGGGGGGGGGGGGGGGGGGGAGGAACCAAGAGCCCTTTGCCCCCGTTTCCCTCTTTTATTCTTCTTCCTCTTCTTTATTTCCTTTATCTTCTCTTTTCCTTCTCTCTCTCTCTCTTAATTATTTTTTGGCGAGGGGGGGAGGCAAGAGCCCTTTGCCCCCCTTTCCCTCTTTTATTCTTATTCTTCTTCCTCTTCTTTCTTTCCTTATCTTCTCTTTCCCTTCTCTCCCTCTCTCTTATTTATTTTTAGGCGGGGGGGGGGGGGGGAAGGAGGCAAGAGCCCTTCGGGCCCCCCTGTTTCCCTCTTCTCTTCTTCTTCCTCCTCTTTCTTTCCTTTCCGCAATCGACCAAGGCCATCAGTGCAGTAGGCCTATGCATTTGTATTGTGCTGCGGTTTGGCGTGAAACCTGTGAAAAAGTGCATGCTAAAATCAATGTTTTTTAGAAAATTACTCTCCCAAATACTATAAAAATGACACGAAACAGGTAAGAAACATAACACCTATTTAATCATTGTCTTCATTGGGACATTTGATTATTTATTTACAGAAATTTGGGGTCTGTTTTAGTAGGCTATATTTTGGATACCTTGCTACACTAGCGCCGAACAGGGGCTCTTCCAAAAAAAAAAAGAGCCCCTGTGAGCCTTCTCAAAGGGGCTCTTTTTAGTTATGACGGGGGCTCTTTTTTTAAATACAAATTTACATTGAATTGGTACCCATGATACTCCTCAATTATTTGCTATTTCATCATTATCATTTATTTAAGTCAGCATTTTCCCTCTTACAAATTTACAAGTTACATAGCTGTTACTGACTTTCATCCTGTGATGACATTTTCCTGATTTTTCCCGTTCTGCACATTATTTCCTCCTCATTATTCGGAGCAACCTTCACATTTTTTCTATACTTTAAGTCTTTACCCAGGGGTGGATCTAGCTTTTTGCTATTAAAGGGGAAATTTGACGCAATGCAGAGCATCGTCTATGAGCCGCATAGCGGCGAGGCGAATATTTTTGCTATTTTGAACCTCTTTAAGTGATGTTTTCCTGGCATCTAATACTGTGTGGGTCTGGACACATAATGGCGTTTTTCTATGCACATCACATTTTAACTTGGTAGCCCAAGAGGGGGGGGGGGGGGGGGGGTTAACCCCCTACTCCCCCAGTAGATCCGCCCATGTTACCATATCCTTCCACAACATCTTGTCTTCCTCTTCTTCTCGATATTGATTTACTGGTCGAGGTTCATTATTTGCTGGTCATTAGGAATCCCCTTTACACAACAAAAACTTCTTCATGACCATGTTTTAGCCCTTACGCGATTGCCTCCAGCTCCAGCAGATATGGGGCCGCAGCGTGCACACGTACCGGTACTAACGGCGCAGTATAGCCACTGCTGATGGCCGCACTAAACTGCGAGCTTCTGTTGTTTGTATCGGTAATACTCATAGAGATGTGGAGTCATAGCGCCATCTTCCGGAGAATAAGCGTACATTTCTTTACAATAATGGCGGCCTTTACTCTCTCTCTCGCTCAAATGTGTTGGTGTCTACCAACACATTTGAGCGAGAAATCTTGCATGCTTATCTAAGTTCCATTTCATTGGTTTAAGGTTTGAAAATTGAAACTCAATATTGTGTTAAAGTTATAACAGAAAAGATAATCTTTATTTTATAATTCCATGGGGGCGATTTTTAATTTTTAATTTAATGATAGCAACCTGACGGGGGCAATTATGTAGCTCAAGGGGGCGAATTGCCCATCGCCCCGTGTATTTTGAGCGTTGCTTACAGTATTTATATTTGCCTGAGACACCTGGGATTAATTGGGATGCTTACAAAGTCAGACATATGATGATTTCAAGAATCTTGCCCCCTGTTCACCTAAATGAAGTGATATCATACACGTAGACAGGAAACTCACCCAAAGAGGATGCACTTCCAAGGGACCAACTGTTGCTGAGCTTGTTACTCTCTGCTGTAAACTTTTCCATCAGTGCCTTGTCATCTTCAGGAGAGATCATGTCCCACATGGGGGTAGCATCTGAATTATTAAAAAAAAAAATTATAATTATAATGTACAGCTATGATAGGGAGGCCAATACCAAAATCTAAATCCCCTTAATTATACAAAATGAAGGCTAATTTTTCTTGTGCGAGTGCGTGTCAAGACCCCTACACACACTTATATGTGTGGGGCATGGTCAAATAATTATAGTGCGAGTCATGCACAGAAATAGCATATTATTTAGAATCTATGTACTTTATAAGATAAAAGCCAGTTTACCCTTCGACAGAGCCATCAAACTTCCCCTTTTCTAACAGAATTAGGGTGCAATCCGTTGAGCTTCAGACTGTTTTTTTTTCGCTACACGAAGATAACTGGAAGAAGAAGAAGAATTGAAGCTACCTTATCCTTTGGCCTTGCGCTGGGCATATTATTAGGGACTTTTAGATTTGCGTGGACTGATATAATACGTGTGACGTCCATTCAAGGCAGTGCATTAATAGACGTCTACCGTAGCAATCCCCATCGTCTTCGTGTGAATCTAAAAGTCCCTATTAGCACTGCATGCACGGACGTTGACTGCACTAATTGCATGCACAAGTTGCACTAGTACTGGAAGAATCACTGATGAGTGATGGGCGGTCGATCTACTTGCAATCCCGGCCCCCCCCCCCCCCCCCCCCCCCACTCAGAGGTCGGAATGACCGCATGCGTGTTGCCAAAATGTCCGGTAAAACTAAAGGGGTACTTTTCATGCGACAAAGTCCGGCCCGAGAATTGTAAAAAAAAAAGGGGTGTTTTTGACTTTTCACCCGGAGATTTCTTTAAAAAGGGGATGTTTTTCTTTTTTTCTCTCATCTCTTTGGACTCCTGAGAAATTATTCCGAATTTAGGGGGGTACATTGAGCATTTTTCCTGATTTAGGGGGGTCTCCAAGGCAGGAAAAGCCCCTGAAAAGCCCGCGAAAAGCCCGCGAAAGGGGGGTTTGGAAAGTATTGGCAGTCCTCGGATACGGGTGCTTTCAAAAAGAGGGTACGAGCATATGCGTACCCTAAATAACACTGAGTGGGGGGGGGGGGGGGGGGGGGGGGGGGGGGGTTGCAATCTGATAAAGAGCTGGAGCTAGTTCCGATTCTTGAAAAAATGAATATTATGAATTCCAAATTTATGTCGACGACAATTGACGTATACAGTAGACAATTTAACATTTTTCAATAATATTTCATCATCGATCATTATCTGATAATTCTCATCCTCATCATCTTAATTTTATTTCTTTTTAATATCATTCTAAATTCTTCTTATCATTTTTCTTTTCTGTTCACTTTTTTTTTGGGGGGGGGGGGGGGATCTTCAGTTAGACAACACCAAGACACAGAACAAAGCAGCGTATGAATTACTAACTAAGGCCAAATGACAAAAATAACGCGTTTTTCGTCCGGGTCGCATTATTATTAAACAAAAAAAAGGGGGATCGAGGCAGGTCATTAGCCTACTATTTTGCAATTTTCGGAGATTAGCTGCCATATGCTATATATGCTATATTGGCCAAGGCCAAGCCTATTTATTGACACATATATTGTCCTATGCGAGTTTACTGATGCAATGCATATGGCAAAACAAATGATTGGTGTCATTTAGAGGCTATTGAAACAAATATCGCAGGCTTTTTTTTGGTTTTGTTCACCTGAATATAGAATATAGTTTTAAAAAATTAAGGAGGCGGTTGGGGACGAGAAATGCTTCATTTTTGTTATGTGGCCCAGCCCACTTTTTAGATACCTGTATTTCGAATGTAATTATCGTCCACTGCTATTTGATATTGTTTTTTCAATCCTAGCTCTGCAATTTAGGCCTACTTTTAAAACTTAGATATTCCTTAATGTACTTCTGTTTCGTTCTCTTGCTCATAATATTTCTTCAAGATCGTTCCGGGGATCGCTCTTCTGTTTTCTCTGCATCAAATGACCCCGTCATCTCTCTCTCTCTCTCTGTCCCAAACATGATTCTATTTCTCTTTCTAAAATGATCCTTCATTCCATCTCACATATATATCTTCCCTTTTTTCCATAATTCAAGAATTTCCGAGCAGAATTTTCCAGACGGGCCATATTTATGAAATTAGCAAATTAAACAAAACTATGTTATTTCACATATTTTAATTGCATCAACCGATATAATTTGCTTGTGAACATGTATGACAAACTGTACAATGTCCTTATGAAATCATAAGGATACATGTAGGCCCTATTAGAAAGAAAGAAGCATCCAAACTTATTTTATTAGTAAATGTACAAAACTGTTATCATTTCCGAGGAGGCCAATGCACAAGAGTATATTGAGCCATAAAGAGAACAATCAAGGTACAGTATATCAATTAAGTGAATAGTCTTGTTCAGACGGAGGCAAGTTACCCTGGATTAAAGGTCGTGTTACGAGCTAGTCGTGGTAAATATGGAGGTATGTGTAAACGTCGTAGTATATAGTGACAGTCTGAACGATGATCGTCTTGGCTATACGACCTCACCTCTTTACTCTCAAAATCAACTTGCTTACACGAGGGTAGCGTAAGTGGATGCGTGATTGTCATCAGAATAATCACTTGGATTTCCACCACTATAAGTTCAAAATGGACACATTTGAAACTGTGGTCCAATTGTGTTTCAAATTCAAAAGTATGCATACTAGTATATCTCAATATCTCCATAGATATCAGGTGCAGAAAATTCTTGCGTTTCCAATGGAAAAGAAAACTTGTCTCAATTCAGAGCGCTACCTAACGGGCTTTCACCAGGGCCTAGGATTTTCACAAAAGTGCTTTAAGTTAAAACCAGTTCTTGCATTGTGAAAGAAACGTTGTGGAATCGATCAGAAAAAGGAAGATCAAACATCAAACTTAGGTAAGTTCTCGTAATCTATACAATAAACACAATATTGTCTGATAGTAATAATCCATTCGTCAGTTCTAATAAGAAGGCATTAACAAGCTATCTTTGCATACCGGTACATAATGAGCCTCATGACCATTGACCTTTGACCCCCAAATCTTCTCAGTTCATTGGCTCTGCAAGATAAATGCATGTTTTGAGTTTGATGGTTACCGGTATCTGCCCATCGGTTCTAATGATAATGTGATCATCAGCTATTTTTGCATACATAATGAGCCCTGTGATTTTTGACCTTTGACCCCCAAAATCTAATCAGATCATTGGCTCTGCAAGATACATACATGACTAAAGTTTGTCAGTAATCCATCCATCGGTTACTGAGATAACGTAATCACAAGCTATTTTTGCATACATAATGAGCCCTATAACCTTCGACCCCGTGACCCCAAAATCTAATCAGTTCATTAGCTCTGCCAGATACATACAGGGTTTAAGTTTGGCAGGAATCACGAGAACGCGACGTACGGGACGTACAACCCGAAAACATAATGCCTCCGGCTACTTCGTTACGGAGGCATGAAAAGTACTAATACATGTACATTTGTTAAAAAGATAACCAGAGCTTTATAACAGTGACATTTGCAGGAGTGTTTGATGTATGTCATTACATTGAATTTTGATCACAAATTGTGGTTTTCATGTTGGGTCCTACCTAATTCAAATCAATCAACAGCAACATTCAACAGTCGAACTTAACAAATTCAATTTGACCCAGTCGATTACCTTCTTACATTTTTACATTTGAATTTAGTTATACAATAATAAAAAAGCAATTAATGGAACTATAGAATACAAAATAAAAAGCTTTCACTGATTTTCTCACTACATTATTTACAATTTCTACTGAATGATTTAAGATGTACCAAATGTCCAATATACATATATCAATCTGTTAGCCTCCTCTCCCTTTTTGGTATAAATCTAATCATTCATCATAGCTTGAAGTGCCTCTCTAACCACTTGGCCATCACTGACCTCAGAAACTTGAGCAACATTGCCTCTTTTGAAGTTTGGACTGTCATGGTCAGCGTCGTCAGACCCTGAGTTTGAGGGGTGAAGATGGTGTGGTAGCAGGTTTACGAGCATGGATACCATCTCCTCCCAACTCTTTGGCATCGTTGGCTTCATGCACTCTCTGCGTCACTACCTTCTTCAGGGTGATCTTGTGTATTACATCTAGATGTTTCCTGAGACTTGGCAGGTCCACAAATCCATGGAAACAAATCTGACATTCATGAGGTTTCTTGTCCTTGTGGACATACTGGTGCTTGTCCAGGTTACCCTTCGTCAGAAATGACTTACCACACACATCACATGTATGTGACCGGATGTTGTAATGCCAATCCATATGCACCTTCAGTCTGGCTTGAGCTGCAAATACCTTGCTACAAAGTTTACATTTGAAAGGCTTGTTAGCAGGGTCATTAGAATGGACTTTCATATGGGCATTTCGGTGAGTCGTGCGCTTGAATTTCTTCCCACAAACGTCGCAGGAGTATTTGTAGACATCAGTATGGGCAGTAAGATTGTGCTGTTTTAGATTGGATTGACTCTTGAAAGCTGATCCACAGACTTCACATAGGCAATGACTAGCATTGGAATGGACAGTTTCATTGTGGACTTTTAGTAGATAAGCCCGGAGGAAGCCCTTTCCACATTCCTCACATTTAAATGCCCTCTCTTTATTATGACTGTCTACATGCAACTTAATAGCGCCGGTGGTGTAGAACAGTTTCCCACACACTCGCAGGTGTACTTTGTCTCTTTAATGTGTACACTATTGATGTGCCTCTCAAGACCTCTTTTGCTAGCAAGAGTTTTACCACATGTTGCGCAATCAAATAGCTTTGATTTATCATCATGTCTTTCCATATGATAATTGTAATAATACTTTGACAAATAGGTTATATCACATATCTTGCACTGGTATTTCTGTCGTTCTGTTTTGTCCTGGTGGGTTTCGACATGTGTTCTGTATATACCTTTCTGCACAAAAGTTTTACCACATGTACTGCACTTATACAGCTGCCTATGTTCCGTATGACTATTAAGCATGTGTTTGTTCCGATCGTGTTTTGTCTCAAATTGCGAATCACAAAGCAGGCATACTATGGCATTTTCCTCTCATTTTCTATTGATGTTTTAATGGTTGTAAAGTCGTTTTTATCTTTGCCAACATCTAATTTGCTTTCTTCCTTTGTTTCTTTTTGCGCAGTTTCATGGATCGCTTTTTGTTCAATCATTTCCCTTGGCTCACACGTTCCCTCCTGTGATTCATGGACCTTCAAGTCAGCTGTCTGTCTTTCCTTTCCAAGTGAGAGATGGTAGAGGCATCTTGATTTTCTTCTACCCTCCGCAGCCTCCTTTTAGTACAGCTTCACTGATCTTTGACTCTGAAATGGGCATCATTGTTGAGGTTTCTCTTTCTCCATCTTCTATTACAAGTTCTACCTGTCTCGTTAGAATGAGGTCTTCTTCATCCTTTTTCAACTTGCTCTGCAGTATTCCCTTGACCTTGGGGTTCATCGTTCCATCTTTCACTTTCGAGAATCTTTATCCACCCCTTATTCAAACGGATACAAAGTCTCTTGGAAAGCTGAGGGGCATTGCTTTTTGTTTGTTGTTTCATTTCCTGCATATCTCCATCATCTCTTTTCTTGCTCCCTGCGACCTTCTTCTTTGTTGTTTTCCCTCGTCCTTCTCTGAGGCCTGGACGTTTCAGGGCTTTTGTCTCAGATGGAAGACATTTTTCATCTTTATTTCCTTTTGTTTGCCTTTCTGTACTTTTCAGTTCCTCAAGTTTCTCCACTATTTCAGAATGAGTCATGTTGTTATCATGAACTTTGCGTAAGTGGGCAACCATTAAAGCCCTTCTACGAAACGACTTCCTGCATTGGTCACAATTGTATACCGGTACATGCCGAATGAAAATCTTTGACGCTGTACAATCATGCAATCTGTGCAGATCTAAGTCCCATGTGCTGTTTAAGATTACATGGCAATCTGGGCATGGGTGTCCCTCCCTCGGCTGGCGAGTTGAACTTGGGCAGTCACTTTCTACCACTTTTGCGGTGCGCCTGATGTTTGGGTGTCATTGTCATCTCCATCATCAGGTTCTGTCATCCATGCAGCATAAGAATTATCCTCGTCATCATCGTAATCGATCTGTACCTCCTTGGAATCTTGGTGTTGTGAAACAGTAGCCGGAGTAACCAATTTCTCTCTAATAGGGACAGTATCCTCAGTCTGTACTGGCTGAGCCACACCATGTTCTGTCTCAATGTGCTGTTCGTCGCCAAAGTGAATGGATACTGAGAAAAGAAAAGAAAAGAACAAACAGCTATAAATGCAATACGAAACTTAAAACTTTAATTATTATTTTCATATCATAACTAATGTTGCATCAGCAGATGTACGAGATTTATTGTATTATTACCAACGCTCCTTCTCTCCCCTTTCCTTTTCTTCTCTGCAAGTCAGTCTTTTCTATTATACGTTATTGTTGTTGTAACTAAGTTGAGGGCTGCGGGCACGTCAAGCTACTTTGCTTATTTCTGTAGCCCTCCTTCATCTAATGTTTGTTAATTATGCATTTAATATATTTGTTTAAATTTGTTTATCATCTGTATAAAATTATATACACTTAAAATATTGTATCAAACCATATTATGTTCATGAAAAATGAATGAAAAAGAGAAAAATGCAGAAACCAATAAATCAAATCAAATCAAATACTAAATACTACCATTCTGCTAATCAACATTTTGCCCAAGATTGTGTAGCCAATGCTGTGTCCATGGGTGTGGATCTGTAATTGATACCTATTGTTCAGGGGGGGGGGGGGGTGATCTATTCATTCACCCCCCCCTGAACAATAGGTATTACGTAAGGATCGACACCCATGGCTGTGTCTACTTCAATATTGAGAGTGTTGGAGGCTAGGCATACAATGAACTTGTGCTCTATTTATTAAAGAAGAAGTTCACCTTGATATTAAACTGTTCAAGAAAAAATGAAGAATAAAACAAGATTCATGATTGACTTGTTGTTGAATATTTTAAAGATCTTTTTCATTCTGCTTTCAAGAAAGATTCTTGATACCAAACTTGGTTATCAGTAGGAGTTAATGTGAACTGCTTTAGCCCTTTAGTTATTTCAATAAACTAACCTTGTTTCTGAGAAGCTATCTGTTGACTGCCACACTGGATGGCGATTTGTACTGCTCCAAGCTGCACCAGAAATGAAACTGCCGCATCTTTCTCTGTGCAGGAGAAAAAAGATCATGATATGCATGCTGTCTGTCAGAGTCAATACTTGCAATTCCAGTTAAAAATCTGATGGAGAAATAGATCATCTGAAGGGAATAAATGATATGAATACTGTGCCTTTTCAGATTTTACTCCTCACTTGCAGAACTCATTTCATTCCTTTTCTTCATGAAATTTTATTTGATATTTTGAACCATGACACCATTTTCAACTACTTCAACTGATGTGTAAAAACTGACTTTATTGAAAGAGCTTGTGTATTTAAAAGAAAGAAGATGCAAGCGTTGTAAATGATAATCATGGAGTTTACTGAAAACCTTTCAGAACACCGTAAATATCTCAAGTTTACCGGTAAATGAACATTCTGGCAAAGCTAGGAGCCACCCACATAGAAGCAACATAGAAACAGTATAGGGTTATAGGTAGCTTCGTAGGAGACATTTTTTTCGAAAGAATTCTGCTGTAACTCTCCCAGTAGGAGGATCCACTTTATGATATTCAAACCAGGGGGGTGTTTCACAAAGATTCTAAGTCTAACTTAACTCTAAGTTAGACTTAAAAATTATTATGGAGAGCCATTTGTAGCCTTGAAAAAAATATATATTCAAAAGCAAAAATTGAAGTATTTGAGACTTTTCATAAATTCCTCATCAAGAACACGATATCTCCTTGATAATAGAAAATATGAATGGTTTGAATCAACATTTTATGCCTTATAAATAACTTTTACAAAATATTTTAAAGATGCTAATGGCTTTCCATAATTGTTAAGTCCAACTTAGAGATAAGTTTAACTTTGAATCTTTGTGAACACCCCCCAGGGGGGATTTGATCTAGCAATCTCTACTGATATCACCGCAGCAACTGTATCACCAGGCCATTGCTGGTCCATTGCATACCTACACTAAGTTGGAGAGTGAAGAGTGGAGAAACCAGATATAATACAACAAGTATCTCTCTCCTTATTTTATTTTATTGACGTTCAAGATTCCCAGTAGACTAATGGCTACAAAGGATAGGATTCTGGGAACAGTTTTGAGAAACTGTAATACACGTTTGTTTAAATTCACAGACATCCCATGGAAATGCATCTTTGAAACACTCCGACATGTGTGTCAATGGAATGATCATAATTCAACATCATCTTTTTGGAGCCATAAGGGCTTTAAACTTTTAAAGGACAAGTCCACTCCAAATATAACTTAGTTTCAAATTCAATAGAAGCAGAAAAATTAGACAAACCAATTAGGAAAACCAATCAAAAAAAGTTTGAGCAAAATCGGAAAACTACGTAATAAGAAAGTTATGAATTTTTGAAAAAGTATGTAAATTAATGGAACAATGAAAAGCACAAGACAAATTGGAAACTCACTCATCAGTCTGTGACGTCATGTCCTCACTATCCACCAACTATTTTCTTTATATTGATAATATAAATTTCCTATTTCCCCCTGAGAATCTTATTTCTTCACACCAGCATCCAAGTTAGATTGATAGTACGGTAATATGTTTTTGTGTGGATGCACTTATAATTATAGAGTTTTTTAATTACTTTTTTTCTTCCATTAAATCATGACAAATGTGAATTTTGATACTTTTATATAAAAATCAATAATCATGAATATACAATTTCATGAAAGATTTTGTGAAATGTCATGCATGCAATATGATACAAATCATATAACCTGGGCAAAGGTATGGGGGAATCAAGTTTTGAGGGATAAAAAGGAAATTAATGGGATTAAACTATATAAAGCAAAATAAATAGTGAGGACATGACGTCACAAACTGATGACCAAATTGGCAATTTGTGTAGTGATTTTCATTGTTCCATAGTTTTACATACTTTTTCAAAAATTCATAACTTTCTTATTAGTTATCCGATTTTGCTCAAACTTCTTTTGATTGGTTTGTCTGATTTTTTCTGCTTCTATTGAAAGTAAGTTATTTTTGGAGTAGACTTGTACTTTCAGCTTAACTTATATACTAAACACAGAGTCAAGCTCCTCTGGCACTAAACAGACAATAAAGTTATATAACACATTAAAGGTGCTATGTCCGATTTGCAGGCCCAAAAAATGAAAGTTTAAATTCCAACGGCATTAGAAAGATAATACCAATTCAGAACTTCCCTCAAAAACGAAAGGGCTTGAAAAAGACTTTAAGTGGAAAAATAACGACCATTAGTTGTCAAATCAACTTTAGTGATTGCAATCCATTTAGTTATAGTCTGATTTTTACACCCTTGTACCAAATGGTTGTATCTTTTTTTGCTGCGCAAATATTCAATCAGTTTAATTTTGGCCATTATAAGAAGTGGATTATTGATGTAGACAAATGCTCATGTATCCTTTTCAGCTCATTTACTGTGTGTTATTACCAAAGAAAAAAAGAGAGGTCAGTCACTCACTCAATGGTATCTAGAAAATAAACGGGTTTCCTTGCATAATTTGAATAATAGGAAACTACTAATGCTTAAATTTCACAGATAGGACAAACTTGACATATTGATAATTCCTGCAAAGTTCTACAGAATTTGATGTTGGCTGCAAATGGGACATAACCTTTAATTGGGATGATTACGAAGTCAGACACAAGCAGATTTCAAGAATCTGGCTCCCTGTTCAACTAAATGAAGTGATCTTATACACGTAAACAGGAAAACTCACCCAAAGAGGATGCACTTCCAAGGGACCACTGTTGCTGACCTGTTACTCTCTGCTGTAACTTTTCCATCAGCCTTGTCATCCTCAGGAGACATCATGTCCCACATGGGGGTAGCATCTGAATTATTACAAAATAAGAAACCAAAATTGAAAAAATTGATATGGTAGATAGATTGTACAGCTCCCGGGGGAGGGGAGGTGGGGGGAGGGATACTCTCTATGCTTTGCTGGAG